GCTGGCTGGCTGGCAGGGATAAGCTAAATGTTGTGGATTCAAATGAACTGTAGTCAAGATACTAACAGTTTGAACAGACAAGAAGGTGTGATGTTAGCTGACGCATATGAAATCCTGATTAATGAATAAGAATGGATATGTGTCACTAACTAATAATACTTGGTCAAAGTTCCTGACTGTCTATATCTACTTATGGAGAGGTTAAGAAATTGTTTTACAACTGAATTGAAATTTTGATTTCCCCGTCGATTGATTGGACCGAAGTGCTCGGTCTCAAGTTGACATGTCGGCTTCTTGTGCAGATGCTTCGACGATGTCTGGGTATTTAGTTAGTATACAATTGGTGGATGGTGGCTAGCAGTGGAATCCAGGATGCGCATTTCGTCCTATGGGCACTGGGTTCGAGCCTCGGTGGGAACATCATCACTCACTGAGAAATGCAGGTACATCCAGCTGACGAGTCCCAAATAGGACGAAATGCGCTTTATCCTGGATTCCACTGCTAGCCACCATCCACCAATTGTATACTAATTGTTTTACAACTGTTTACCCGCACACACACACACATAGACACTGTGTTTAAAGTGTTTAACAAAGTTAGATCAATATTTGTAAGTCTGAGGTCAAATTTTGATCACAACTCATACAATTTTGTTTATTATACTTGTTAATACTTGTTTTATGACTCATGATTGGACAAAGTTTTTAAAAAAACAAAAAAGACGTTCCTTTTATATATAAACCTCTGTTATTTTAATTTCGATTAATTTCCCTGAAAAAGTTCGGACCAGATTGCCGAACGAAACGTTGGAACTATTCATTTCAATATCGCTGAGATTTTACAAATATAATTTTATAAATGTCTACTTCTCACTCAGCGCTCAATTATTCTGCAACTAACCGGTCAAATCTTGACGACAGTTCATTTGAGTTATTTTGCAATCGAATTAAATTAACAAAGAAACTATGTAATCGGCACAATCATCGTGTTTTCACTGACTGATGTTGAAGCCGTGTATCGGCTTGACCACCACTGGCTAACTCTTCTCCTACCTAATCCATACTGTGTCAGCTAACATTGCCTGTCGGTCGAGGAAGGTTATGGCTAGGCATGCATGGGTAACACATGTCTTAGCCACTCATCGCAATCTATGTAACTGCTTCACAACCTCATCGATTGATTGATTTCCCCTCCTTCTTATCTAGCACTCGATCAATGCCTAACCTCAATATTCCTGACCCTATTATACCACCACTTCTCGCGGGGAATGGAACGCAGGCACCTGTGATTAAAGACAGCTGGCTAGCTAGCTAAGCTTTTCATGTCTTCCACTTCCAATGGCCACCTCTCACAGTCAGCCAGCCAGCCACAGAGGAGGACGGGATGGACTGGTGAGCAGTACACACACCCTTTGATCAACAGCCAGTTGGCCGGATATCACGTCTACTAAGCCAGAGACGGTGCAAACTGGCATGTGCCAAAACAAGCCTTCTGTATCTGCACCCGGATGAGATTTCGTCAGCGACCAACCCGCTGGCATTGGCTGGGCTGATGCAACTCCTCAAATAAGTGTGAATCGGTCAACACGCTCCACCAACCACCACTTCCCACGAGTGTCTATCGTCTAGCTAGGAGTCAGTCAATGAATAAAGTCTAGTCAGTCCTGTAGCATTATCATCCATCTTACATCTATTTGACAGCAGCACAAGTGAATTGCATGTAAAACATTCGTAGATTGCAGCTCAAGGTTGCAGGTCAGAAGACTCTGCTCTATTTTGTCGGTGTTCTCACTTAGAAGGAGTATATAAAGTGCAGATTCTAAGTCGACAGGACTATTATTCCTTGGTGATAACAATTGAATCCCTGAGTCTCTGAAGTTAACAATCAGGGTCATTTCCATTAGTATATAACTCTTAGGAAATAGTTTTATCAGATTTTTCTGACAAACATTCCAATGAGTTATGCTGAAAATGTCACAGCCTGAATTATTGGCAGTGAATTGAACTGTCTGTCTGTCTGGATTCAACATAGAACTTGGCACCGAAGTGCAGCAGTTCGAGTTGCCACGTTCCAAATAGCACACAGAGGTAGACAAGAAGATGAGTGAAGAGAATCAATAGAGTTTGACAAGTATGAGAGTGAAACAGAATGGGTAATGGTAGAAAGGAATATGAAAGATTACAGAGACTGAATACATCTGCGCTGGCCATTGACAACGATTTTGAGCCATGTCACCTATTGTCTCCAGCCATTGATTCCTAGAGTCAGTCCCGAGGGCCCCAACCCGGAAGTCTGCATCTCCCTACCTACCTGACTCAGTTTAACTGTCAAGGATTTCATGGATTGATGAGGCCATGTTTTTGTTTGGCCACCACTTACTCTTTTCCAACCTGCACCTATATCATCAGCTAGTAATGCCCGTCATCGGGGGAGGCGGTGGTTAGGCATGCGCAGCACGTGACCTAGCCATCTTAGTCTATGTAACTTTATAGCCTCGTCGATTGATTTTCCCTCTTTGCCCAACACTCTACGCCTAACATCAACATTACTTATCTTGTGAATTGAACTGAATTTCAAACACAGAGCTTTACACAAAATGGCATACTTTTGATTTGACTGTCACCATTAACGTTTTTCCAGTTCAGTCAACTCCTATGTCAGCTAATATTATTTGACGAGAAAGGCTATGTCTCAGTATGCATAACACGAATCCAAGCTATTTCCCTCGGTGAGGCTTAACAACCCTATCGACTAATTTTCCGAACTTATCTAACACACTCTACGTCTAACTTCAATATTACTCATCATGTTATACCACTTAGCATGAGAGATATCGAGCAAATCATCCTTGTGATCAAACACAAAGAGCCTCTCTTCCACTTTAAACGGCGACATTTTACAACTATAAAGAGAAATCAAACTGCCGCGTTGGTGGCATTAAGGTGAGGGACTCTCGCCGACCATACACAGATGGTCCGGGATCCGATCTCCTACCGATGCACACCCGATGATCGATATCAATGGTCGGCCTGAAAAATTAGGCTACGCGTATCAAATGCGGAAAATTCTCTACTCCTACCAAAAATACGGTGTGGAGTTAAGCTATAATAAAAAAAAAAACTAAATTGTTGATATTAGATTGTTTGAGGCAGTCGGCCATAGGAGGCATTGGTCGACCTCCGTTTCGTGCTAGTTGGTATTCACTAGTCAGTCAGTCAGTCAGCAAGGCGTGTGTATCTGCGACCGCATTGAAGGAACAACCCATATACCTCCTGAGATTCGAACCCACGTCACCACTGAGCCTTGCTGATGAGTTCCGACTAGCACTTCATCTAAGTCCAAGACTTCCTGTGGCCGATTGATTGTTTTCAACCGTCTAATACCAACAGTTCACAGTGTACCGTAATAATGGCACATTGGAAACTTGACTAACCGACAGAATTCAAAGAAATAGGACTACACACACACACACAAACACACATTACACTAGTTACTGACTAGTGTGCAATCCAAAATATCCTTTGATCGACAGCTCTGGATATCGTGTTTAGCCTAGAGATGCTGAAATTTTGCGAACGCTACACACACACGTACAAGCCAGTTCACCAGGACAAATTGAACTTTCCAAGTGAATGAAGTGGTCAGTGGTCTTCATCAACAACCATTTCCATTGTATACAATTGGTGGATGGTGGCTAGCAGTGGAATCCAGGATAAAGCGCATTTCGTCCTATTTGGGACTCGTCAGCTGGATGTACCTGCATTTCTCAGTGAGTGATGACGTTCCCACTGAGGCTCGAACCCAGTGCCCATAGGACGAAATGCGCATCCTGGATTCCACTGCTAGCCACCATCCACCAATTGTATACTAACTAAATACCCAGACATCGTCGAAGCATCTGCACAAGAAGCCGACATGTCAACTTGAGACCGAGCACTTCGGTCCAATCAATCGACGGGGGAATCAAAAATTCAATTCAACCATTTCCATTCCTTATTCTTAAACTCGGTGCACACACCAGTCCTTCACAATTGACGACTCACATAGAGCAAAAATTCGAAAATTTCTGCTCGTGTTCATAAGTTCCTGCATTTTTTCAACATCTTCACACCTAGAAGGATTTCATCACCATCTTGCATACTACGAGAACACATTCTACTCTAGTGATAAGTCACTCTCTGAGTTGCTAAGATCGATTAAAGTTGCATCCATTGATGCATCTATGAATATATATATATATTCTATACCATACCATAATTCTCACTAAGCTGATAGACGCGAATAATAATTATGCGTACACAGACATTTGAGAATTGTTTTTTTTTTCAATGGTTTTTCCAGGTAATGATAAGATAACTCCTTCGTTTGTGACCACAGTTCACAGATTTGCTTGTCATGAGCATAACACTTAGTCTTAGGAGTTTTCTGTTCACATGGTAACAACACGTGTCATCATCACTATCAGTGTTCTTAATGGAAAGCACAATTATGAATAAAATAGAAAAAAAAGGCGTTTTAATTACGATGAAAGTATGGGAGAAATTACACAATTCTAGTGACAACAAAAAATAAATAAATAAATAAATAATTAAAAATAATGATTATGACTGAAAACACAAATAACAATTATGCGTGTGTGTGTGTGTGTGTGTCTAAACTGTCTTACTACTCTGTGTTGGAATTTTTGTTTTAAATAAGAGACAGACGATGACGACGACGACGCCAACATGTGTCAGTGTGATGAAAAAATCACTTTCATGGAAATATCGAAGGGCGGAGACCAACCACACACTTCAACAACAACACCAGCGACATTAGAAGACAATCAATTTAAAAAATTATAATAATGTTATGAGATTTATATGTAGGCGGCAAGTGAGAAACTATTCTGTCTCCCCACCATCTCTCTCTGTCTTTCTTACACAGAGACAGACAGGTAAGCCGAAGTAAACTCTTAGAGAAAGACAGAGAAAGAAAGAAAGAGAGAGAGAAGCGAAATTCATTGCTGTCCAACAACAACAGGTGACACCGGTGGTTCTTCTTGTAATTTAGTTAAATCAATAAATATTTGTTCCAATGTTGTTTGACTAATCGAGTAATTAACAAGTCCAAGATGCGCTTTATTCGTCTCCATTAAGTGGAATAGCCGACTTAAACATATTTGATTGTGTTCATCTGTAGGCAAATGATACTGTAGGACACCCTGTAAGTTAAAAAAACAAGAAGAAGAAGACGAATACTGAAATCAAACGAGAAAATTTGACCGAAATAGAAAAAGGAAAACTAAATAAAACGAGATGAATGAATGTCACTTAACCAGATGGATTCATATATATATATATATAGCCAGTTGCTGGTGTGCATCAGAATAACTAATGATGAAATAATCACGATGAAATCCTTCAACTAATCAAACCAAAATTCCTCAAAAAACCAATACTTGAAAACTGATCTACTGTTCACTAGCCACTGGACCTATTCAGGAAGCTAGGCAGTTAGTTACCTGTGGTTCTATTGAGAAGCCATTGTGGTGTAAGAACAGGCTGCTGCTAGCCAATCGGTAGACATTATTAATTTACGTCAATGTCTAGGTCACTAATATTGGCCGTGGGGAAATATGAACAAGCCTGATTCAACAACACCAATCACAGCAGACTTAACGTGGGCAAATACGATTCGCAGATAGATGGCTTAACTTTCCGAGAAACCAGTCACCTTGAGCAAGAAACAACCAATCAGAAGACTGTGTTTGTCTGATTGAATAAGCTATAATAATAATGTACATGAAATATATATATAAATACGTGGTGATTTCCATAATAAAACGATCTGCTGCCTGGTACTTGTCTTCTGTTGTTACACCATGACCAGTTAGGAGTACAGCAGGTTGAAGGTGAGAACACCTAATCATCAGAAAATACATTTCTAAGTGGTAGTGCGCTAAGTCATGCGTGAATTCACAAAAGTCAGGATTCATGGGTTGGTCATCACTGGATCTGACTGGGCCCAGTCAGTGAGTGAGTGAGTGAGTGAATGAGTGGCTCCTTAATGACCTACGAACTAGCTAGCTCACCTAGCTCATCAAAACGGTTTGGGTTTGAACCCTGGCGGTGGGTGAGTACTGTTGAAGAGCCAACCAGTCCCAAGCACTAGGATGAAGGGAACAGAAGTCTGGCAATACTCCTTGCAGGTTGTCCAATGGTTCTTCAACCGATTTCAGCTGACGACGAAATCCTCCAACCAATCAAACAAAAAGGCTACAAAAAACCAACTGACTGACTGGTTTCAAAGTAGAACTTTGCAAAGATGTGTACAGAAGCACTTCGAATTGCTATACTCCCCCTCGATCGATGTAGCATACATAAAGCGCAAGAGAAAGGAGTAAAGAGAGATTCATAACAATGAGGCAAAACGAATAGTAGTAGTAGTAGTAGTATGAAAGAACAAAACACAAAGAGCGAATGCATCTGCGTCGGCCATCACACTGAGATCGATTTTTAGCCAACCCAAATGAGAGGGGTTGTGGAAAATGCATCTGGACCAATGAGAGCGATTTCGGATTATATCATTTATCCTCTCAAACCACTGGTGCTTAGAATTCCGAGGACACCAACCAGTCACGCAGTCTACACCTTTCTCTCCCTATGTGGATAACTCAAAATAACTGTCGAGATTTGTATGGACAGATCAAGCCAAGTCAAGTTTTCATTTGACCACCACCACCACCACAACCATTAGCTCTTTTTCAATCTAATCCATCCTATGTCAGCCTAACACTGATTGTCAAGGAAGTCAGTGGTTAGTCATGCAAACGTAACACATGTCCTAGACAACTCAGTTGATGTAGCTTGACGACATCATCATCATCATCATCCATTGAATTTCTCTCCCTATCTAACATTCAAGGCCTAACCTGGATATTACTCACGATACTACACCAACTTACATGAGAAAACTAACAAAAACAGATGAAGAGGCAGCAAAGACGGAACGGCAGGTGAACAAACAGAAGACGGAAGTGATGAAGATAGCCGACGAAGCAAATAAACGGCAACAACAATGCAAACAACCAACACCAGTCACAATCAACGAGACAAGGAGATTTAATAGACATTGCCTCCTTCACTTATTTAGGGAACCGGCATCGTCCGTAACTTCATTCAGGCAGTCCGAACGGATCACGATGTCAAAGACAGCCAGCCAGCCAGTCAAATCGGAAAGATAAACAAGGTACGCACGCCTTCATCAACCTGAAATCAGTTTGGAAATGTTCTGCTTCACTCCGCCTCAGCCAGCATGGACAACACGATTTGGAATCTGTTCGACAGCAATGTCAATTCAGTCATTGCTTCTTGTCCAGTGCGTGTGAGTCGCAAAAAGGATGTATAATAATAGCCTGTTGCAGACTTTTATCAACAGCTACCACCTTCACTGGCTAGCTGGCTGGCTGGCTGGCCGGCTCCATAGTAAAGATCAAATGGCAATCCGGAGAGAATTAGTAACAAGAAACTCTGCAGTGAAACGAAAATACCAACCAAGAGCCAACCGCTCAACAAATATGTCGGAGAAAATGGAGATGAATTGATGTGGCATACACTGAGGAGATCGTTGAGTGACATGCGTGCGTCAGGCCATCTCTCTAGTGGAATCACAATGGGGAAGCGACGAACGAGTTGGTGGTAGCCAGTGAGAGGGTGACATAGAGGAGATCATGAGAGCTGAAGGGGATCAGATATTATGTGCAATCGTGGGGTGGGGTCAGCCAGACAAAGACGACGGAAGAAAATAGGAGGAAGTGGAGATATGGTGTTGTTGAAGCCAGCCCTATAGGCTCCACTCGTAACCCAAGGGAATAATAATAATAATAATAATCACCAGTGTTAGATGTCCTGCATTGCGTGCTATGTCATCCGACGGTTTTCTCAATGCACGTCCGATCAATCAGTCTCCATTTCGTCCTACATATTTGTTGGGCAATCGGCTCTTGGTTGGTTCGTTTATTGCCACAGTTTCTTGTGACTTATATTCTTTCTGGCCATTTCATCTGGGCACCCACTGGGGTTTGAAACCAAGACCTTCCGGTTACAAGGCACGCTCGCATTCCATTCAACCACTGGGAACCGATTCAATGGCCCAGGGATTATAACTTCTGCCAATTCATGATTTAGCGCAACCACCAACTGGAATGAAACAGCTGTCCAATACTCCCTGGTTTTTAATGGCTCTCTAACTGGTATCGATCCCTGGTCAAACTCGTAAAAACAAATCTAATTCTTACAAACTAACTTCTTCCTTATGTTCAGTGCGCTGGAGAAGATTCCCAAACTGGTTTTAGATTGGTGAAGGCGTATCCTGCTGGCTTTGTGATATGTATCCATTTATATGTATATTTATGTGTGTGTATGTTGGTCTCTCTTTCTGTTTGCTCGCTTAGTCTGTGACCATTTCACTTGTATGAACTTGTCTCCTTTAACAATGTATATTCCCCTTATATTATATATAATATGAGTGTTTGTTGACAGTCCGTTGCTTGGTGACATATATCCATATATGGTGGTTGTTGACATGTCTGCTATATTTCGCTATGTATATATGGATCGATACTTCATTATAATTAGCCATTCATGTTAAGACTGTCTAATGATTGTTCACACCCTTGTCTGAACATTCATATATATTTTCGCTCTCACAATTTGTGTGACTTACTTACTTTACTTTGGTGTGATACCACTTTTGCATTCTCCTTGTGTTTTGGAAAATAGAAGTATCATTGCAAACCTAGTGGTCTTCTGATTTCCGCCTTCTTGCGTCAGGACTATTAGTTTCTCGACCAGTCCATAACAATAAATTTAGCGACGAGTACATAACACATTGACATCTTCATCCATTCCGATTGTGGTTGACACCGCGCTTCCTACATAGGTGAGGGAAGTAACCTCTGTCAATTCACTACCGTTGACAGTGACTGGTACTGGTTGTTGTTGCTGTTGTGGCGGTTCGTTGGTTATCTTCAAATCGCCTTCGTCTTCTTCATGTTCACCACCTGAAGTCCTGTTTTCACTGCTTTACTGCCAGTTCGGTGTCACTTTTCGCCTGTAAGTCTTCGAGTTTATGTGACATTGAACATAAATCATGCAAAACGCGAAATTCAGATCTTCTAGAGTCTTTATTATCGGTCAGTGCAGCGTACAGCTGTCTCCTCACTCACATTGAACTCACAGTCTGATGCATAATTCAGTCCACCAAAATTAGGAATTTTATCATCATCGGTGATAAAACGCAGCCAGCTTGTCTTACTCCTCTTTTTATCTCCAGAAAGGTTTCGCTGAGTTTTCCACTATGAATCACCTGATTGATACGTGGCAGTGTCATATAACTGCTACATGAAGTTGATAAAGATTTGAGGTACCCCCTGTAGTGTTCAATCAGCTTCTGAATTACTTCTCAGTAAAAACAATGTCTATCGAAGACCTATCTATTCGAAGTCGATGAAGTTATCGTAGAGATTTGACTTCCACTCAATACTTTGTTCTGTTGGATGGTGACAATGCATAGAGTTACTGTTTGATCAGCGCACACGATTTGCCTGTTGCAGATATCCAGCCAACCTGTTCCGATGGGGGCTGTCAGAGTTCTGAATCCACCAGTGCATTGCATTCAGGGTTTCTGCTTTCGTTGGAGGATTGGTGCCCACTGGCAGCTAGTTCTCTGTGTATTTCTGGCCGAGTTGCAGGGTAATGGTTCATGCAAGAGTCCTTAGAAGTGATCAGCTGATTGTTTTATTTATCCTCTCTCCTCTTTGGTAATTAGATCAGCTTGAACATCTTTTATTTGTTTCACATCATCTGAGTTGATAACTCATCCCGGATACATACCGACTGATCTGGTTATCTGAGATATAATGTCCTTAGGTCTCTTTTATCTACAGCCTGCCTGACTGCCTATTCTGTTTCACTTACCGCCACAGCCAGTATATCGTAGAACTAACTGTCTTTTGTCTTTCCTAGCACTCTTCTTCACTTCACTTCACTTTCTTTATTCAGTGCAGTGTACATTCTCAACTCAGCTTCTCCGTGTCCATCTTTGCATCGACTAACAATTTTCTCTTTCACTATTCTCCTCTCTCTCTTCTTCAGATGTCTCAAAAATATACTCAACTAAATCTAGACAATTACCTACGATTAAATTAACTGAAAACAATCATACATTCTGTATAAAAATTGAAAAAAATAAAAATAAAAATTCTTTTTCTCACCTGATGTTGATCAACTAAACGAGCATCAGGAAATTCACGTCTAATAAAATTGGACACGTTTTCCACAGCTTCAATCATCAATTCTGTTGTTGTTGTTGGTGGTGGTGGTGGTGCTGTTTGATTTAACTCCATCGATTTTTCTACACCAGCAGTACTGTTACGACTTCTTAAGATACTTGTGGAAGTAGTTGACACAATTGATGATTGTGAATTAGTATTCACTGATAAACCGGTAGTATTCACTGTTGGAATCATGACTTGTATGTGAAGACTATAACCATGCCCAAAACGTGTTTTTAAATGTTGACAAGTTCCCAGACACTTGATTCTACCATTGACAAAAATACTCACACGAGAACATAATGCCTCACATTCTTCCATGCTGTAAAGAAATATAAAGTAACAAGGGAAAATGATGGAGAGGAATTGAATAGTGTGTATTGACAGACACTCCTATGCCATGAACTGACATCGGTTAGAGAGGTAGAAGGGAGTAATGGAGAGCTGTTTCGTCAGCCTGGTTTGGGACTGGCTCTTCAGCAGTAGGCACCTACCCTATTCAGGTAGGTCGGCAGTTCTCTTGTGGGTGGGGTTCTAGTGGCAAACTGTGACCAGTGAAGAGTACAGCAGGTTGAAGGTGAGAACAGCTAATCATCAAAAAATACATTTCTAAGTGGTAGTGCGCTAAGTCATGCGTGAATTCACAAAGTCAGGATTCATGGGTTGATCATCACTGGATCTGACTGGGCCAGTCAGTGAGTGGGTGAGTGAGTGAATGAGTGGCTCCTTAATGGCCTACGAACTAGCTAGCTCACCTAGCTCATCAAAACGGTTTGGGGCTTGAACCCTGGCGGTGGGTGAGTACTGTTGAAGAGCCAACCAGTCTCAAGCACTAGGATGAAAGGAAACAGAAGTCTGGCAGTACTCCTTACAGGTTGTCCAATGGTTCTTTAACCGATTTCAGCTGATGACGAAATCCTCCAACCAATCAAACAAAATCTTTACATACTAATACTTGGAAGTATTTTATAGCAATGAAAGTTGTCAGAGTGTTATAGAAATCATTACCGGAACATTTACAAAAAAGAAACGTCAAATCCACAAACGCATTCTGGGACACTGTCCAGCTTGGTTAGCCAGAAAAGAAAAGAAGAATAGCAGCAGCTCTATCCTCGAACACCTTGTCATCTCCGGACATCGAGCACCCTCACATGAATGCTTCACAGTTGCACAGAGTCCCTCAATATCGTACAAAGGGATTACGTATGAACATAGCTGAAACTTTGACTTGCTATTCGGGGTCTGGAACCGAACCTCTGCATTCAAAAGCGCTACATACATGCATTCATTCGCCACTCTACTGTGGCCAGAGTAACGTTCTTACTATAATTTTGCTTATTTTTATTATTTAAGTTTACTATTATTATTGCTATTATTATTATTTTATTATCAATACTATTCCCATCATCCATCCATATTTTATTGTCACTCTATTACTGTTTATTAATAATACTACGCTTTCATACTGATCGTACATTAAAAAAAAAACACTTTATTGTCTTTCCACTAGTTCCTGTACATTCTACACAATCTTATTGATTAGTCAATTATATCTCATACTTATGACGTCATGTCAACCTCTGCCCTTTTTTTCTATTGTCCAATTAGTCATCCCATCTAGGTTACACACTTTACATGACGTAATACCATTTTTCGAGGAGAGATTTATTTTACTAGTACGAATCTGATTGGTCATCTTATGAGTTTTTTTTGTTGAGAGTACAATGATCACGATTATTGTACAGAGGAGAGAAAGAATCATCGAAAATAAATCTTTCTTCGCTGTTTTCATCTTTTTCTTATGAATACAGTCGCTTGACTAAGAAACAACATAAGTGCAGGTAACACACACTACGTGTTGATGAAAAATAGCCATCCACATATGGGATGAAAGATAAACAATTAGTTAGGCGAAGAGTCACATTTTGGCAAAGAATTCATTGATTACTTAGGTGTACAATTATTACTATTATTATTATTATTATATGCGCATACGCATAGCATATAGAAAGAAGAGTCAAAGAGCGTGTTGACCATGGATCAAATTGGAAAAGAGTTAGCCAGTGATGGTCAAACTGAGCCATGGCTTCAACATCAGTCAGTGAAGTTAACAGCAGTTAGCTTACGCCTGCCAGCCAGCCAACCAGCCAGGCATGTAGGAAGGTGTAGACTTCCTGATTGTCTGGTTGGGGTCCATGGGACAGTAAAAACCAATAAAGGCTAGCGAAAATTGGTGATGATATGGCTGGTTCAAAGTGATCGTACTCAGTGATGGTTGGCTGGTGTAGATACATCCACTCCTTGTGACTTATAATAAATATCCAATAAAAGCTACATTGTTCTTCGATATTACCATTCGTGTTGCCTGATATTTCTGTTTATTATCTCTCTCTCTCTCTTTTTGTATTGGATCTCGTTTTACTCTCTTCTCTTGCTTGGCGTGTGCTAAACCTAACCAGTCAGTCAGAACAACAAAGGGGGTAGTGACGGTGAATAGTCAGTCAACTCCGTCTGTCTGTCTGGATCCAACATAGACCTCGGCACCGAAGTGCACCAGTTCGAGTTCCCACGTTCCAAATACCACACAAAGGTAGACAAGAAGATGAGTGGAGAGAATCAATAGAGTTTGACAGCTATAAGTGTGAAACAGAATGGGTAATGGTAGAAAGGAATATGAAAGATTACAGAGACTGAATATATCTGCGCTGGCCATTGACAACGATTTTGAGCCATGTCACCTATTGTCTCCAGCCATTGATTCCTAGAGTCCTGAGGGCCCCAACCCGGAAGTCTGCATCTCCCTACCTGACTCAGTTTAACTGTCAAGGATTTCATGGATTGATGAGGCCATGTTTTTGTTTGGCCACCACTTACTCTTTTCCAACCTGCACCTATATCAGCTAGTAATGCCCGTCGGGGGAGGCGATGGTTAGGCATGCGCAGCACCTGACCTAGCCATCTCAATCTATGTAACTTTATAGCCTCGTCAATTGATTTTCCCTCTTTGCCCAACACTCTACGCCTAACGTCAGCATTACTTACTTTATTATTCAACCTAAAGTGAGAAAGAGATCGTAGACATCTATGATGAAAAACAGTCAACCTTTTCATGTCTTCAACTCGTATTGGCCATGTTTCAGAGCCATAGAGAAGGACGGAGCGAACTGCTGAACAGTACACAGGTCCCTTGGTTGATAGCCGGATGTCACACCTACGCCAGAGGTGGTGTAAGTCAGCGAAAGCAGCTCGAGCTTTTCGGATCCGTGCTGGGATTTCGTCGCCAATCAGCCCGTTGGTGCTGATACAACTTCCCAAATAGGTGAAGTGGTCAACATGTTCTATCACTTCACTCCCTATCACTAAGCTAGGAGTTGACGTAGTCCAGTCCTGTAGCAGCATCTTACATTTTGCAGGGGCGAATCGCATGCCAAACATACGAAGATTGCTGCTCAAGGTGTTCAGAAGACTCTGCTGGATTTTGTCAGCATCCTCCCCTAACAGGACTATGTCATCTGCATAAGACTATTCCCTGGTAACAAGTCGATTCCTAAGTCGTTACGTTCAGTTAAGAATACTTCCATCAGCATATCTATGATGAAGTTAAACAGGAATGGGGAAAGTGGACATCCCTGTCGGACACCACTGGTTGTTATCAATTCAGATGACAATTCCCCATAAGCCCTTACACGACTACGTGAGTTTGAATAGAGTCCCTTGATTAGTGCAATGTACTTTCTTGGCACTCCCTGCACAGTCAAACATTGCCATAGTACCTTTCGATCCACTGAGTCGAAGGCCGCCTTCAAGTCAAGAAATATGGCAATTGTTGGACGCCGAAAAGTGTGTCTATGTTCTAGAATCTGTCGGAGAGTGAAGATATGATCTATGCACCCTCAACTAAAGAAAAAAAATACGTCAAAAGCGATTCAGCATGACAAGTTATACAATCAACTGATGTTATATAAATAAATATGCAATCTGATAAAACACACGTAAAATAAATGATTAGAGTATTAATGAGAAAATTAAAAATACCACGGAGCAGTTAATAAAGCGTATACCCCACGTACCTATGTGAACTTAACACAACTGTACGACCTTGACAACGATAATGCATAAGTAAATTCCAAATACATTTACGTGATACAGGATCTACACCAGTTGTAGGCTCATCCAAGCAAACTATTGGAGTTCCACCGACAAGTGCAACTGCTACACTCAATTTTCGTCTTTCTCCACCACTATAATGACTAACTAAATGATTAGCAATTTTTGTTAATTTTAAATCATATAGAAGGTTATCAATTTGTGAAGTTAAAATTTTCTCTTTAATTCCACGTAGACGACCAAATAATTGTAAGGTTTCATATCCTGTGAGATATGGTAAGAGTGCATCGAATTGTGGACAGTAACCCAGAGATTGTTGAGCCTAGAAACAACAACAATAACAAGAGAGGAAACAACATTAATTTTGTAATTGAAACCCACATACAAACGCACGTACACATACACAGAGAGAGAATATTTAACAAAGAAGTGAGAAAATGTTCAACTACTGTAGTAGTGTGGTGAGAGCTGGCTGTTAGTCAAAATTGGTGGACAGTAATTTACGTCAAGGTTTATGTCCCCAATATTGGTCCTGAGAAAAATGAGAACAAAGGCTTTGCGTAGGCGGATACAGTTAGCACATATAGATGATGATCTGACATTCAAGAAACAGTCACAAAGAGATGCAGGGTTAACTCTCTGTGAGAAACAACCAACAGTCAGAAGCCTGTGTTTTTCTGCTAACAATAATCTATAAAATGTACATGAAAATCTATAAATACGTGTTGATTTCCTTAATAAACGATCTGTTGCCTGACTCTTGTCTTCTGTTGATACAGTAGTAGTGTGTTGGTAGTGGTGTGATAAACAGACAATAATATGCGCTCCTCCTACGGAATATTTATTCTCACAAATAATATTCCCTTACAGTTCACTACTGCATTAGCAACAGTATCGTTCAATGTAGACTAAAATCAAACGCTCGCTCAGTGATTGGTTAAAGAGTACCCTGGCTTTGGTGTGTCTCTGCCTTCTGCTGTTACACACTTGGTGTCGCTGCCTGTTGACAAATGAAAGAAAGCCTACGCCCTAAGCAGTGTTTCAAGAAACATACATATGCATCTTCTGGCAGGAATTCGAGGCTGTCGCCGAGTTAAATAGTAATGGCGTTCAAGATCCATCAGTGAAGAGGCTGTTACATGGAAACGCTGCTGCTCGGAGGTAGGGCGAAGACAGCATATGATGATAGTGTGAGGCGACACACTCTGGCGACTATGCGCCAGTCAGAGTCACACAAACTGCTTCCAAAAATGGGAAGGATGACTACAAGCTGTCATCGTGAGATGTGGTCAAGGTGAACTAGGTGAACGTCAGCGAGCTCTGGAACTGGATAAAGCAAGATAAGCGGACAAAGACGCCAGCACCAAGAAGATCCAACCAACTTCAATCGAATATATGTTTGATAGTGGGATGAGTGTAGTGTGGTGGTGCCATACAGACAACGTGTCCAACGGAATATTATTCTCATATATTCACAACATAGTTCAATATTGTATCAACAACAGAATAATATCTATGTATATTTGAACATTCTATTTCATGTCGTTTAATGTTAACTAAAATAACACTCTGACTGATTTTTTAAGGAATATAAACTATATATCTATATATATAGAGCGGTTTTATCAGTGCCTTTTGCTGTTACAGCAGTAGTAGTTGTTGTGTATAGTAGGCTACGCATTAAGTAGGCCGACGATAGTTTGGCTGGAATTGGTGATAAGAGCACCACAACCAATTTCGGTAGGAAATCTTTAGTCGCTGACAAGAACATTTCTTGCTGCTACAACACTATGATTGGTATTCTCATCACCCTACCCGGCCAATTGTCTTTCAACAACTCCAAAGGTAAACTACCGCATTTGACCATTTCTATGTGTATCTACCTACCAATTGCTTGCTCATGTAGAGCGAGCGAGATGTGTATAGGTCGCTCGTTCGATGAGTGTTTCATCGCAAATAATCAAAGGACATTTATCCCGCTTGACAAAGTAAGAGTAATAGTGGGGATTCATAAGGAGTACTATAATTGAACCTATATATTCACCACTGGGATCACTCAATATGCACACAGAATTCTTCTAAAGTCATCTAGAAAATCAAAAGAAGCATCCAGATGAAAACGGTAAGCTTCCTAATGCTTTGCATATATATATATATATATATATATATATATATATATATATATTGCTCTGCAAGCGAAATAAGCGTAAAACATTTTCACAAATGTTTTTCTTATTTCCTAGTGAATGAAGAACGAAATGATATTGTCTTTTTCACTAACGTTTCGCTGTTTAATGATGCAGCTAATAGCTTGATCAAAATAGTAATATTAAACCAGAAGAATTTACAAAATCCACTCAGCTTATATGGTATATAACAACTTAATGATCGTTTCTCAGCATGGGATCATTTTCACGTTGTTGTCAAGTTGACTAAAAGGTAAGGATAACAAAACCAGGTGTAGATTGTTGGATTTGATAAGTGTATCGAATTATACAAAAGCAGCACGTGCTTACATGATGAAATTGATTATCAGTCATACTCGTGTTGATTTTGTCATTGAATGCGAGAAGTCGGGGTATGTGTGTTGTAACGAGGTCAAATTCTGTTTCAGCCCATCATTCCTATTCAGTTCAGACAATTTGGATTCCACCCATTTGATGATGTGGAGTGCTTCTGATGATATCAGATGTTCTTTGTGATTTCTGAAACTATTTCCTGATGATGATTTCAATATATTGTCAAAATCAATTTGGTGGCCTAACTGATCCTGTAACGAGGTGTGAAGACGATCTATGGCTGATGATTTTTCAAGCTTTTCTAGTTCATAAACTGGATTTACTTCTCAGTGGTTGGACAGACGCTCTACGGTGTTCATTCATTCTAATTACCTTGATTTCCCTCTAACGATGTTTGTCCGATGTATACCGCATCACACTGGAATCACTTTATTTTGTAGACACAATTAGATGGAGAATCCTTAGGGATTTGGTCTTTTATATGGAGAAGGTTGCTTTGCAGTGTCCGTGCGTGTCTGATGTTTTGACGAAAACTCTGATGTCTTGCTGATGTTGAGTACTCTTCTGGTATCTATCATCTGATGTCCAAGCCTTGGGAATACATTTTCGACCATATTTAATGTCAGTGTTGCTTTTGTTAATGAAGTTCTTTGGTTGGCTGTTCTTTTTTTTGAGGTTCTCATTAATGTTTAATATTTCTTCTTCTTCTTTTCCCTTCTCATCCGTCATCAACGTGAAAATTATCCCATGCTGATGAACGATAATTAAATTGTTATATACCACATATAAGCTGAATGGATTTTGTAAATTCTTCTAGTTTAATATCACTCCTTTGATGATAAAGCTATTAGCAGCAGCAGCAGCAGCATTAAAAAAGTGAAACATCGTCAGTCAGTAAAAATAAAAACACCAATATCCTTTTTTGTTTTTCATTCATTCATTGGGAAATACGAAAAAACAAGAATCTTTATTATAAAAATTCATTGTATTACTCATAAGTAGAATAAACTACTACTTACTTTTCGTAGATTTTTATTCATATCATAACCAGCAACAATAATCTGTCCAAATGACGGCTCTAAATCTCCAGTTATCATTCGAAAAATTGTTGTCTTTCCAGCACCATTTGCCCCCAACAGCCCAAAACATTCTGACGGTAGAATAGCTAAAGATACACGATCGACTGCAGGTCGTTTTAATTGATTTCGGCACAGATTAATCGCCCCATAGGCTTTACTAACACGACATAGTGCTAAGCTAATGCAATTAAAAAAAAAAAATACAAGGAGATGATATTTTGTATCTCTCTATAGAGAAGGTCGAAAGTGTTGATTAAATATCTGTCTGTTTTCGACATAGAACTTTCCACCGATGTACGGCAGTTCAAGTCGCCACACTCCATGCAGCACACAAAGCAACACAAGAAGGTTGAAGAAATGCATAATAGAGACAGTAAGCAGAGGTGTGAGACAAAGGAAGAGTAATAACGAAGAACAAAAGTTTCATTAGAAATCATAAGTCACAAGGAGTGGATGCATCTTCGCCAGCCATTGAGAACGATGAGTTTGAGCCATGTCACCAATTGTTTCCAACCATTGATTTTTGCCGTCTAGAGAACCCCAACCAGTCAAACAGGAAGTCTACATCTTCCTACGTGGCTGGATTAAACTAACTGTTGTAGATTTCATTGACTAGTGAGGCCATGCTTTTGTTTGACCTCCGCTAGCTTTTAACCAGTCTGACCCTATATTAGCTAACATTGCCCATTGTCGAGGAAGGTGATGACTAGGCATACGTAACACATGTCCTAACCATCTCAGTCGATGTAACTTCACAACTTCAGTTAATCAGACAGACATTTAATCTTTTCATGTCTTCCACTCTCAGTGGCCAGGTCTCACAGCGAGCCATGAAGGAGGAGGAAGCGGACTGATGAGCAGTACACCCGCCCTATGGTTGATAGTCGGATATCTCGTCTACGCTAGAGACGGCGTAAACTGGCAAATGTGAAATTAGCCCTCTGTATCCGTACTCAGCTGAGATTTCGTCAGAGATCAACCTGTCGGCACTGGCTGATGGTACTTCCCAAGTAAGTGAAATGGTCAACGTGCTCTACCACTTCACTCCCTATTTCTAATCTAGGAGTCGGTGTAGTCCAGTCCTGTAACAACATCTTGGATTTGGCGGGAGCCAATCGCATTCCAAACATTCGTAGATCGCTGCTCGAGGTGATTAGAAGACTCTGCATTTTGTCAGCGTCCTCGCCTAGAAGGACTATATCATCTGCATATTCCAAGTCAACGAGATTATTCCCGCCCTGTTAACAAGTCAATCCCTGAGTTGCTGAAGTCACTTAGGGTTAAGTCCATTAGTACATCTATGATGAAGTTGAATAGAAATGGGGATAATGGGCATCCTTGACGGACACCACTAGTCGTCACCAGTTCAGATGACAACAATACATTAGAAGAAAGTCAAAGAATGTTTTTGTAGCAAAAATCAATCAATCAACCAATCAGTAGGTAAGTAAGTAAGTATAGAATTACTTTACTTTTCCTTCTTTACACTCAGACTTTCATCCATACTTTATGCTGGGGACACCCCATTTTACTTCGTGTGAAATATTTTAATGTCATACAACAGAGTTCTATCATTGCACAGTATTATTATTATTATATCCTTTAATTCCTAGAGGAACATAGGGCTTCAGCTACGCACCTCCATTGCCTTCTGTTTTCTGCCAACTTTTTCACTCCGCTCCAGGTCTGCCTACATGCTTTCATCTCCTCCTCGCATGACCTCCTCTACGTCACCATTGGATGACCAACTCGCCGCCCGCTTCCCTTTCAGGTTGCACTCGAGCCAATTCACGACATAGCGCGACCACTTCGCAATGTCTTCTTCGATGAGTTACTGCCTAATATATATATATATATATATATATATATATATATATATATATATATATATATATATATATACAGAGAAATCGTGTTGTCTATTTAAATAAAGAGAAAAGCCATTTGTAAAAGTTATATTTGTAAAATCTCAGCGAAATTGAAAATGAGTAATTCCAACGTTCCCTGTGTTTGGCAAAAACTGGTCCGAACTTCTTCAGGGAAATTAATCAAAATTCAATTAACAGAAGTTTACAAATAAAAACGACGTCTCTTGTTTTCAAAAAAACTTTGTCGAATTATATATGAGTCAAAATGCATGATAAACAAACGAAATTGCATGAAGTGTGATCAGAATTCGATCTAAGACTTCTTACAAAAACATTAGTCTACTTTTGATAAACATTTTATAAATAGAGTGTACTTTTCATCAGAATTTTATTGATTACGTTCGACTAAGAGTTCATAGACGTCGATAATTCAATATGATATATATATATATATATATATATATATATATATATATTCCACTGTGTCAGGGCTACAAACGCTGCTGACTCTGTCGCTCGGTGAACGAATCATTTTCTATATAGAGGTACCCCTAACTGTGAAAGTTAGTAAGTTGTTCATTCCATATTGGATTTCTGTAGATCGCTCTTTTTTTAATGTGTTCCTGTTTCATCTTCTTAATTGAACATCTACAAAAGATATTTTTGTCTTGTCAGACTCCTTTCCTAATTTAAACTGGATTGCAAAGTGGCAGCTATTGAGAAAGTGCAGGATATCCTCGAAATTCCCCTCAATTATTACAGATGATGAAAGTATCGTCCACCTGTCTTTTGTAAAATCCAAAGCTGTCAATCGTATTCTTTAGGCATATCTTTTCTATTTTTTTTTAACATAGAAGGAATCTGTAAACAATTGACTCAGTAGTGAACTCATACACAGATACCATCTTCTTGTCGATATATTTCATTACTAAACGAGAATTGAACATTTAAAGTGCATCTCAACAGGAGTTCTTTCAAAACAATCAGTGGGTTCACTAATGTTTGACCTCTTTGAATCTATATGTTCGCATATATATATATATATATATATATATATATATATATATATATATATATATATTAGCATGCTGTTTCAGTTTATAGGATGTTCGTGAACAGCGATACCGCATCTCTAGTGAGAACACAGTCTGATTAGAGAAACATTGACGTTTTCAATGGAGTCGATCAAGTTGTAAGAATCTGGGAGTGAGTGGCAGGAAACTTGCCTTCAGACTAGCGCTAGTAGGTCGTCAACTAACCCTTGAGCAGTGCGATGTGATAAGATAAATTCATCCGGTCGAATTGGGGTGTTTTTGTTGTGTTCTGCCAGAGATCTATAGCCTCGGGGTATATTTGAGCCAGATGGCCTCATGTGATTCGAAATTTTCAGCGTCAATGGTTAATTCAGATTTTAGTTTTCGGAGGATATCCTTTAGGTTTGCTCCGTCATACTCTTTTCATTGGCCGGTTTTGTGAATTCGGATTCGTTAGATAGGATGGCGGCTTATAAGCCTGACAGCGACTGGCCCTATTCAAGAAGCTGGGGTTCTAGTGGGAAGCTGTGACCCGTGCAGGGTACAGCAGGTTGAAGGTGAGGCATAGCTTTACGCCTTAGGTCGAGGAAATATCTCAAAGCAAACACTAAAATATGCTAAATCAGCCTGATAAAACAATAATACGGGTGGGTGGAAAAACTTGTAGAAGAAGACATTGCGAAATGGTCACGCTATTTCGTGCGTGAATCGACAGAAGTCCGTATTCATGGGTTGGTCATCACTGGTTCTGGCTGGGCCCAGTCAGTGAGTAAGTGAGAGAATGAGTGGCTCCTTAATATCCTAAGAACTAGCTAGCTCACCTAGCTCATCAAAATGGTTTGGGTTTGAACCCTGGCGGTGGGTGAGTATTGTTGAAGAGCCAACCAGTCTCAAGCACTAGGATGAAGGGAATAGAAGTCTGGCAGTACTCATTGAAGGTTGTCCAATGGTTCTTTAACTGATGTCAGCTCATGATGAAATCCTCCAACCAATCAAAAAAAATCCCTACAAAACCAATAGTTGATAATAAAAAATACATATGATGGAGATGAATTGGGTAATGAATCTGAAGATCAAGACTTTTTGGAGACTATATTCTATTAAAAAGAGCACATTTGTAGTAAAAAAATTTCATGATATTTAAACACTCATATATATATATATATATGCATATACAGAAATTCTACAATAATCAAAAGTAATAGGACGCTTTACGAAATAAAAAAGTGATTCAATAAACTTACGAGGATTGTTCTTTCAGTCTTGAAAGCGGTAATGATTCTACAAGATGCCTATGTTGACGAACATCGATGTCTTCAACTAGGGAAACATTCTCTTCAGAAATCAAATCATCATTTTCACTAAGCATTAATGATTCTGAATTGGAATATGGACAACGGCAACGTCGGTATACTAGAAGAAAACATACTTGTATAAATTAGACGTTGTCAAAATCAAAATAATGATAATAATGATAACACAAGCAATTATATGATAATTACATTGGCCATGAATTAGGAAAATTCTTCACAGCTCAATTCTTTCGGGGAATCACTCCACCTCTACCTCTCTATATTACTGTAAGTGAAGAACTTGGACACTGTGGTAGAATGTGTAATTCCATAGTTTATCTAACACACACACACACACACACAGCGATGATGCAGGATAACATCAATGAATAACAGACAAGGTTTTGAGCATACATAATAATTGCCACCAATAACCACATCAATCATTTTGATATGAACTTTGACGTAAACCACTGGAGCCAATGATTCCCTAACCGATGTCAAATTTATCATGAAATTCTGGAACCAATTAAATACCTGCAAAGCGACAGTGTTCGAAGGCTTTCAACGTCAGGAGTAACGATGATTGTAATGATAACCAAAAATAATGATGACAATAATAAAGTTTATGCATGTTGCCATCAGAATAACGAAGGGAGTAAAACGCGTGCATATGTGCAGACAATTCAATAAATAAATAATCAGGTCAAATCTTGAAAGTCACGTAATCCTAAAGGTAGGTGGAGTGGACAAATAATCAGACCTTGAATAAATATCATAAAAATACGAAGGAAATGTAAAATAAGAAAGGGTGGGAGGTTTATTTGACTAGGAGTTACCTAAGGAAGCAAGAAAGAGACGAAGGTGGTGTGACGACAGTTGACAAGGTCCAAATAACAAATAGTTTATTGAGAAGATCGACAGATATTTATAGTTTTTATGTACATTGAGATTCGTTATTGTTAGCGCAGAAGCAACGTCTTCTGACTGGTTGTTTTCCTGTTGAAGGTTATTCTGTCACCTCCTTGTTACCGTTTCTTCGATAGTCCGGTGATATATCTGCGGCTTGTATCCACCCACGCTAAGTCTGCTGTGATTGGTTGTTGATTTCCTTAGGGTTAGGCTTTGTTCTTGTTTTCTCTCCTGACCCCAATTCGGGACGTAAATTGTTGTTTACAATTTTGGCTAGCTGACAGCTCTCACCACAGTGGAACAAATTTCTTTTGTTGTATGCAAAAACTCTAGGATTGTTCTGTCGAATTAATTCCCTTAGCTTCTTCGGCTATGTGTAAAAGATGGAGTCGAATCCCGTTTTGAAAGGTTCGATGGAATACACAACGGGAAACTCACGGAATCATTCGAAGTGAAGACGGAAGTAAGACAAGCTGGCTGTCTACTACTATCTCCAATGATTTTCCTGACTGCAGTAGACTGGCTAATATGACAGACACACAGTGGGCAATGAGGAAATAGGCATAAAATGGACCCTCACAAAAAAAGACTTGAAGGATCTGGATTTCGCCCGCGATGATATATGTCTGATTTCCCACAAACTGGAAGATATGCAAGTGAAAAGCAACAGGTTGGCAGAAGAAGCATCCTGAGAAGACAGGAATTCACCTGAACATAGAAAAAACAGAGGTGATGATGAAGATTCCTGGCTAAGAGCAACAGCAACAGCAACAACAGACAACAATCCCCATAAATGGTAGGGGGGGGTGGGAATCTGCAAGAAACAACCTCCTTCACCTCCTCACCTACCTGGGAAGCATCGTTTCAACTACAGTCGAAAGGAACTGATGACAATATCATCAAAGTGACGATCATGAAAGCAGGGTAAGCTTTCATTACTCTCAATTCTGTGTGAAGATCAACAGAACCTCAACATGAAAAATAAGATTTGGATTTTCAACTCCAATGTGAATTCAGGGCTACTGTACACGCGGTTCAGTAACTTGGCGCGTCATGAAGGGCACTTCGAACAAACTACAGACATTCATCACCAGCTATATTCGCTCAAGATCAGGTGGCCAGCCAGAAATGATCTCTGGCAATTAGCGAACCAAGCCAACCCAGCAGGAGCTAATTGTGCACCAAATATGCAGGAAGAAATGGAGGTGGATTGGATTGTGGCCATACTCTGAAATAACAAACCATCCAGTGAATGACATCATACACCAGGCTGTCTCTTTCTCTCTTGAGTAGGACCGGAATGAGAGGGAAGCGGCGAGTTAGTTGGTCGTCAGTGCGAAGGTGACATGTATATATGAAAATTTTATCCCATGACGGTGAGTTTGTGGATCAAATAATAATAATAATAATAATAATAATAATAATAATGTGTTAAATGTCTTAAACTTCAGTCATAATCATGATTATAATGACGGCGAAAATAATAATGATCATAAGACTAATATTATGTTAACAAAAGTGCAAAGAATTTATGCACGTGGTGATAAGAGTAACCAAGGTAGTAATATCTGTGTGTGTGTGTGTATATGTAGACGATTCGATAAATCAATAAGTAAATTAGGTCAAGCCTTAAAAGTTACAGAAATACACTTAAGATGAAGTGGATAGATAGATAGATACAGTTTGAATAAATTTCATAAAAGTGCGAAAGAAATGAAGAATAAGAAAGGGTCGGAGGTTTTAATTAGAATTTACCTAGACTAAGCGAGAGACAAAGGTAGAACAAACTTCTTTTGTCGTATGCGAAGATTAGGATTGTTCTCTCGAATTAGTTCGCATAGCTTCAGCTGTGCGTAAAAGGCCGGTTGTGTTCGAAACGCTAGATGGAATGCTGCAGATAACCTTGAAGAACCTTCTTATGTCCACCATCTGGTGACCGCAACCATCAATCAAATGAGACAAAACATAACTTCTTATAGATTTCATTTAGCCTCTTGCAAACCATGAAGTAAGACGATCAGTAATGGTGAGTTTGTTGAACTATCTAGTTGTTCGCCCTATACGGCTTTCTCCATAGGAGCAGGTAAAGTTACAAATACACACAGAAACAATACAGCTGAGAATTCTGTCTTCCCCTTGAGTAATCATAATTGGTCGGCAGCTGGAAAATGACAAACAAAGGGTGGCGGTAGTGTGATTATATCTTAAGGCTCTAGATCATCTCAGGGCAGAGGAATTCACTAGCCACGTCCTCACGACATTGCAGTCTCAGGAACAATCGTTTCTGTTTAACCGTTGTCGGTTATTCATGAGTCCCCTAACAAATTTACCAGGATAACTCATTTGGACCAGTGTATTTTTGATGTATTCTAATTTATTTTCCAGGGAGTCATGTGTGCAGATCCTTCTGGCCTTGATCGTGAGGCATCTCTGATCAAATTGATTTTATATCGGATTGCTACAAAACTGAAGAAATGTCCATATTGTCCCACAGATGTGGGTTTTATGTATAGACATCTCTCTTGAGTGAATCATCCTCTCTATTCTGCTCAACTGGACATCGAGGAAGTCTAATCTACCATCATGTCCCTGTTTACAAATGAACATGGCTGATGGGTGTGCCTCATTTCTCTTTTGTCGGCTTACTCATCAAGAATAATAAACGTATCATCAACATACTGAAAATAAGAATCCATTGGTTCAATGGACCATTTCGAAGCTTAACAGGTACAGAATATGCCACAATTTGACTCATTGGAAAGCCCATGACAATACCGTCGGTTTGTCTGTAATAAAGGCTGTTGAATGTGAAGTGTACATTCATAGTGCATAAAAGAAGTAGCTCTGTGAGACTAATAATTTGGATTCAGATATCGAACTGTATTTGTTGGGATATGGATTCCATAGTGTGGTACATTGGTGGACGATGAAGTGGTACATCTAAGGATACCATTTGATTCTCACTAACATAGACATCATGTTCTTTGGAAATGAATTCAAAGAAGTTTTTACCATTATGATTACCGATTTGTTGTGAAATGGTTGGAGGAGTTCACCTAGCCACTTTGTCACTCGATGTTAGGTGGAATTAGACATGTCTAGGACTCGATGAAGAGGATTTTCGAACTTTGTCTCTCATTTGGTCTAGGTAAATCCTAATTAAAAAATTCTCCCACTCTTTCTTATTTTACATTTCCTTAGTATTTTTATGATATTTATTCAAGGTCTGATTATTTGTCCACTTCACCTACTTTTAGGATTACGTGACTTTCAAGATTTGACCTGATTATTTATTTATTGAATTGTCTGCACATATGCACGCGTTTTACTCCCTTCGTTGTTCTGATGGCAACATGCATAAACTTTATTATTGTCATCATTATTTTTGTTATCATTACAATCATCGTTATTACTATCTTTCGAAACAATAAACACATTATTATTATTTTTACTATACGGGGTAGAATAAAATGTTAACAATATTAACAATAATATAATTGTGCGTTGGTGGCACAGTGGTTAGGACTCTCGCCGACCATGCACATGATCCCAGGTTCGATTCCCTGACGACGCACACTTGATATCTATGGTGGGCCTGCAAAATTTGGGCTACCGATATCCATGCTGAAAATTCCATAGTTGTACCAAAAATACAGTGTGGAATCAAGCTGTAAATCAAAAATTAAAATTAAATGAAAATAAGTAAAATTTATTAGCATGGTAGATTCAGAGTAACGATCATTTTATTTTGTACACAGAAAAACCTGGTTTATTAACTCGAAAATTGTACAAGCCTTCTCCGGAACAATAGCAAGCATTCTTCTGTCTCTCTGTTTGCTGACTGACAACATTGAATGACTTGACAGCGTATTAGTATCAAGTCCGTGGTCCACAAGGTGCTTATTTTTGATTCGAAACTATTCACTGACTGGTGGAATCAATCACAGCAGACTTAGCGTATGCAAATAAGATATGCATGTATGGCTCAAGCTTCTGAGAAACTGTCACAAACAGTACATGATAACCTTCAACAGGAAAACAACCATTCAGAAGACATTGCTTCTCCATTGACAATAATGTACATAAATATCTCTTGATTCTCCCAACAAACGATCTGTTGCCTGGCCTTTGTCTACTGTTGTTACAACTTAACAAGATTATTTGAATAGAGAAACAGGGAAAATGATATATAGACCTAACCTGCTAGATGTCCATCTTACATGTCTGTTTTCACTGTTTGCAGTAGTCATGGACACAGAAGAATACACCAAGAAAGTTGAAGAACTACTACTCAAATACAAGGATGTATATCAACAACTCCCTACAAATCCCATACAAACATTGGACAACCGCATCCAAAGGACCTTGAACAAGCTCACCAAAACTAGACCGATCACAAAACAAGACCAATGGCGAATAAAATCCAATGGACCTGTCCTACCGCGATTCTACGGCAGACCAAAATATACAAGCCAAATATCCCGTTACGACCAATTGTATCACTCCCACCTAACAGAATCTTGTGATCACTCCATCAACTCTGCTATCCAATTCTTAGAGAGAATCAGAGGTATCCAAGTAGATGAACAAGAAATAATGGTATCCTTCGACGTCACAGCATTATATACCTCCATCGGACAAAACCTAGCAAAAGAAACCATGGAGCAATTACTTAGCAACGACCAACACCTTCCACAACAATCAAAAATGCAACACACAAGCTGGATGGAATGCATAAATCTATGCCTAACAACATACTTCCAATTCAACGGCCAAATATATGAACAAGTCAAAGCAACACCTATGGAATCGCCAATATCAGGTTTGATTGCAGAAGCAGTGATGCAAAGACTCGAAAATATAATTCTACCAAAGATCAAACCCAAGATTTGGATACGCTATGTCGACGACAAATTTGTAATAATCAAAAGAAACGAGTTAGATAAAACTCACAACTTAATAAACAACGTCTTCAACGACATCAAATTCACAAGAGAAGAGGAATCCGAGAACAAAATACCATTTTTGGACGTATTAGTCAGGCGAACAAGCGCAGGGAAATTAGAAACTCAAGTTTATGGGGAAATCAACTCACACAGACCAAATCCTGAATTACAACAGCAACAACCCAATAACACACAAAAGGAATTGCATACAAACACTATTCAAGAGGGCAAGGACTCATTGCAGAACTCACACCTTAAGGAAAATTGAAGAAGAGTATCTCACAGATGTCTGCGTCTCTCTACGACTATGCCACCAAAAGTTGTATCTGGTAAAGCTGCGAAGAAGGCATCCAAGGCTAAGTTGCCTAAGGTTGACAAGAAGAAGAAGAGGAGGAGGAAGGAGAGCTATGCAATCTACATCTACAAAGTCCTCCGTCAAGTTCACCCTGACACTGGTATTTCATCCAAAGCCATGTCAATAATGAACTCCTTCGTCAACGATATTTTCGAGCGTATTGCCGCTGAGGCCAGCAGGTTGTCGCACTACAACAAGAAGTCGACCATCTCAAGCCGCGAAGTTCAGACAGCTGTCCGTCTCTTGTTGCCTGGTGAGCTTGCCAAGCACGCAGTGTCAGAAGGAACCAAGGCTGTCACGAAGTACAGTGGCTCGAAGTAAAACATTCCGCCAGAAGTAGAGAACGCTACCACAGCCCTCTTAAGGGCTACTGTGTGCGTTGGTGGCACAGTGGTTAGGACTCTCGCCGACCATGCACATGGTCCGGGGTTCGAGCCCGCACCAACGCACACCTGATATCTACGGTCGGCCTGCAAAATTTGGGCTACCGATATCCATGCTGAAAATTCCATACTTGTACCGAAAATACAGTGTGGAATCAAGCTGTAAATCAAAAACAAAAAAAAATAAAATAAAATAAAAATAGAATGGATATTCACGAAACTTCATTAAAAGACGTATACCCCCAACCCAACCTATCAAACCAAAAGCCACCAAAGAAAGCACAAAGAAAATCGCCTTACCATACTTAAAAGATATTTCTGAAATCACTACGAGACTATTCAAACCTTTAGGAATTGACGTCGTACACAAACCAACAAAGTCTCTTCACTCAATTCTATATCAACCAAAAGACTCAACGGCGAAAGAAGATAAAACCAACATCATCTACAAAATAAACTGTAACAACTACGAAAAACACTACATTGGCCAAAGTGGACGTCCACTTCGTCTTCGTATCCACGAATATAAGCTAGCCATCAAAAGACATGATATCCACTCCCTTATATCACTACATACAGACAACCGCGGACATCAATTCGACTGGGACAACCAACGTGCAAATATTAGACAGATGAAACACTAAGAATGCTAGAGAATTTTTAGAAGCCTGTCTAGTATTCCAGTGAAACATCAATCAATAGACACATCGAGATAGACAAAATTTATCAATCGATAAGAAATAAACTTCACACACAAAGGGTCAAAGTTCAAATCAAAGAAACAGTCAGTTCCAATACAAGTAGCCACCTAGAAGATGTGAAAACACACAAAAACAACCAATCACGTCTAAGGTCACCAGGTGAGATGATGAATAAACTCGTGGAGAAATATAAAAGCTCACTTCAAATTGAAGTATCCACTGAAGATGTTGCCTAGTAAGGCGATGAAAGCTTCGCAAATTAACTATCCAGCTCAGAGAACACAACCACATCAAAATATAACACCATTAAGCTTATCCCTTGTTTTTATTTTTCTCCCTTCTCAAGGTCATTTATATATATGCGCCAGCGCCGTCAACTGGTTCGGGACTGTTGTTTTGAGACATAAAATTGCTCTCTTACCACCCAATGTCAGGTCTTTCCTTCTGTCTTCGCGGTCCAGTGGTGTTGTTGTTGGAGTGAGATTAGGACAGATCAGCCAGCTCATCAAAGTTAGTATTCGTTCAAAGTCAGTCTACAAGGTTGTTAAATTACGTTCATAACAAAAAAGCATGTTTTCTTTATACAACTTCTAAAGACCAAAAAGAGAAAAAAAGTATTTACCTCTTGTAAGACAGGTTTTCAGGTATCTGCCTGTTGAAGAATCCAAGAGCAGGATGAAAATGATGTATAAGAAACCATGGGCAAGTAGAGCAGTAAGATGAACACCAATTCCGCCTAATTCATAGGATAATTCATTTTTAGTCCAGTAAGCACAAAACGGATCACATGTCTCTGTAATTAAGTAGGTGAAGGGGTGAGGTAGGGGGGTGTGGAAGTCAAAAAAACAAAACACAAGAGTTATGAAAATAAAATGATAACAAGTAAAAAAAAAGGGATTGTCTTTCGTTGAATTTTCGCAAGAAGTTACGGAAATACACCTTGAGCAAATTAGACATTCACGAAAAGACAAAACTGACTAGACGTTTTAATCTTGGTAAGTGCATTTTGACAATATGCGAAAAATCGATAAATAGCAACTTGTGTGTGTGTTTGTGTGATAGTAAAACAAGATTAAATTGTACATTTTAACACTGTCAATATTGGAGTGATTTGGTGGATGGCAGTAAATGACAATGCAATCCAGGATGCGTACTTCATCCTACTTTAGACTCGTCATCGACTGGTTTCTATCTCCCGTGTGAAGTGTTAGGAAATGTGTTACGCGCATGCATGCCTAGTTATCGTCTTCGTCGACCGACGGGAAATGTTAGCTGATTGACATAAGTAATAATCACGTTGGAAAAGAGCCAGTGAAGATGGTCAAACCAAAATCAATACAGCTTCATCAGACAATGAAAACCACAGCAGTTAGTTGGGGTCCTCAGGATGGTGGTGAGAACCAATAAAGGCTAGCGAAAATTGGTGATGATATGGCTGGTTCAAAGTGATGGTTGGCTGGTGTAGATACATCCACTCCTTGTGACTTATAATAAATATCCAATAAAAGCTACATTTCAGGATTTCATCATGAGCTGACATTAGTTAGAGAACCATTGGAAAATCTGCAGGGAGTACTGGACAGCTGTTTCGTCCTAGTTTGAGACTCTTCAGCAGTACGCACCCACCGGGATTCGAACCCAGGACCTTCCGGTTACAAGGCGAGCTCGTATACCATTAAGCCACTGGGACCCGTTCCAATGGTCCTTGAATTCTAACTTCTGCCAATTCACGACATAGCGCGACCGCTAGCCAATGTCTTCGGCGAGTATTTGTCCTCACACCCGACCAGCTGCACCCTACTGGTCACGACTTCCCACTGGAACCCAGGTAACTACCTACCTGAATAGGGCCAGTCGCCAGTGAGCATCTCATTGGTATTCAAGTGTTGGTTTGTAGGGATTTGATTGGTTTCAGGATTTCATCATGAGCTGACATTAGTTAGAGAACCATTGGAAACCTGAGAGTACTGGACAGCTGTTTCGTCCTAGTTTGGGACTCTTCGAATCCCGGTGGGTGCGTACTGCTGAAGAGTCCCAAACTGGGACGAAACAGCTGTCCAGTACTCCCAGGTTTTCCAATGGTTCTCTAACTAATGTCAGCTCATGATGAAATCCTGAAACCAATCAAATCCCTACAAACCAACACTTGAAAAGCTACATTGTTCTTCGATATTACCATTCGTGTTGCCTGATATTTCTGTTTATTATCTCTCTCTCTTTCTGTATTGGATCTCGTTTAACTCTCTTCTCTTGCTTGGCGTGTGCTAAACGGAGGGAATATGGCGACTCGAACTGATGTTTTACATTGATGCAAAGTTCTACATTGAAACCAGTCAATCTGTCAGATAGTCATCTGGATATACCTGTATTCCCCTTGTGAGTGAAGGTATCCTCAATCAAACTGGAACTTAGCACCCATTGTTCCAAATATCAAAGTGTTATCCACTTGACCACTTGGACCACGAAAGTTCGCACTGAGGCTCCAACCCAGTCTTACTTGATTGATGTCCTCTATCCAGTTGTTGATGCATTGTATAACAAAACTTACACGTAAATATGATTCACGTGAATACTTATTCTGGTCAAGTTATACTTTAAGCACCACTAACTACTAATCAGCGAATCACCTTGAATGACCCAGTGAGTTTCATCCGCTTGAGTTGAAGGTTTTCATTCCGCTTGATTCGACTCAAATGTTAGGGAAGGTAAACTGATGATTATAATATTTCGTAGGAAGATTATTTGCCAGGTAACACTTGTCCTTAACCCATATTTTGTATATTTGTAGTTTTAATGGGTTTTAAAGAGGCCTGTGACAGTTGTAGCAACTGCTAAAACAGAGAAAATGGTCTCGTATCAACAGTTCAATGGTACCAGCCCTGCAGAGATATCGCGTCATGGAAAATGGAGAGAATTAGTTCGTTATTAAGAAGAGAAGGTGTCATCGTACACATGGATGAGTGTGGGAAGGTTATAACTACCTGTCACATCCCCTGGATAGATTCACCACAGAGTACACCATCCTAATGATTTTTTGGGTTCAATTACACGGACACACATCAGTCCTAAGGGGGTTTTGAGGGAAGGTTAAAAACAGTGTTAGGGCTATTAATGGATCTTAAAAGTATGTTGTTTATAGTCATTTAGATGAACACATATATGTATAAAATATTGTGTAACTTTCCAATTGATATTTGATATGTATCCACATGATGTGTGTGTTTTGTTGTTGACAGTCTATTATATTTTGCTGTGTGTATATGGATCGATATTTCATTATAGCTGGCATTATGCTTTTGTCTGTCCACTAACTAAATAAACAATGTATGACCTTGTTATCACATGACATTACAACCAATCATGGTAAGACGTTATCTTATTGCTTCATGTGTATTAACCATTTTCATATATACTTTTATATTAGACACTTGTACACTTTATTATTCTTGTTTCCCACGTTCGTACATCTAAGTACCTTTCCACTCACACACTTGTGTGACATTTATTTTCCTTGTCTGGAAAATACAAGTATCATTGTAAACCTAGTGGTCTTCTGATTTCGCTCTTTCCGCGTCAGGACTATTAACTACTGGATATGAGTACATAACATAATTGGCGACGGGGAAAAAAAACTTTAATAACTCACTCAGCAGCAATACACATAACAATATTCCTATGCTCAACTGATGGAGATGTTTTTACCACATTTCAAAGAAAGGCATCCTATGAAACATTTTTACGCAGGTTTTTCTTGTGCATTTTTCTCTCATAACTATATGTTTTCCATAACCAAAGATGCCCCCCCCTCCAATCACGGTCACTCGCTGATTGGTAGTTAGTAGTGCTTACCAGTTTGACTTTGCTCTCTTTCTCAATAAAGGGGGTTAACATGTTCGTTTCTATTTGGACTTTAGTCTTCATAATACTTGAAGACGTTGTATTTTCTTTTAGAAAACAGACTTCATACTTTCATCAAAGCACATGCCTTCAATGGCTGCACACTGAAGAGCAGTCAGAAAGAGTTGGAAACAACAAACAATTATGTGAACGAACTAATCAAGAACCTGCTGTGCAACAAATAATACTAAAGAAAGTGGAAATGGATCGTATACAATCACTGACAAGATCGTCGAGTGGGTGGTGGTAACAAAGCACGCTAAACCACTGCTCGAGTGGAACCCGAGTGGGAAATGACGAATTGACTTTGATCCGATAGGGACATATGTATGAGGAGCAGAAGGAGCAGGAGATAACAGTCTATGGTCAGTCGTGAGGTCATTTGATGAGGACTGCTGTTGACACCTATGAATCACTTGAAATCTAGGGGAATAATAAAACAATTAATAAAATTCACGAGAACTGTATTTTAACTGAATTTTAAATTTTCCCGACGATTGATTGGACCGAAGTGCTCGATCTCAGGTTGACGAGTCGGCTTCTTGTGCAGATGCTTCGATGATGTCTGGGCATTTAATTAGAATTTAATTGGTAGAATTTAATCGGTGGGAACATCATCACTCACTGGGAAATACAGATGCATCCAGTTGACGAGTCACAAATAGGATGAAATGTGCATCCTGGATTCCACTGCTAGCCACCATCCACCAATTAAACGATAATTGTAGTTTCCTTGTAAGCCAAATACTGACTGGTGAATAGGTGAATACATATAATATAGACAACACATAAACTTTAACATAACGTATGTCGTATATCGTTGTTCAGCACACAAACAACAACGGGTTAATATGATGAATAAAAGATGAATCAATAAATAAGGACTCACTTAAACAACAAGGACCTTGTCTTTCTAAATGGCACATGATATCAACAAACAGAGAGTCACAAATCTGGCGGAATTGATAGTTTACAAACAATGCGAAAATACCATGAGCCAGACAGAACGACGGTGATATAGCCATCCAGAAGTACATTAAGTAGATTCCAACAGTTTGTTGATGTATAGCCGGAATTGACAACAAACCGATAAGTATTAATCCAATCGACCCTATGAAATAAACAAATTACACAATAACATACAGAATATACACGGAAACAAATAGAAATTAAAAGTGCTCTCTCTCTCTCTCTCTGTATGACAGCAGTGGGTGGTGGTGGTGTGATACAAACAACAATGGGTTCCCGTTTAATGTAAACTAAAATCAAACGCTGGCTCAGTGATTGGTTTAAGAAAACCTTGGCTTTCGTATCTAACCTATTGCTGTTACAATTGGTGTCGCTGCCTGCCAACAAATGAAAAGCCCATAGCTTGCAGTTCTTCAAGAAGAAGGAAAAATGTGGATATTGTTGCAGGACTTCGAGACCCAGCGGTCTTCTCAGAGAGAGTCCAATCCATCTCAATCCACTTTCTCCTGCATATTTCTTGTTGTTGGGCGATTGGTTCTTGTTTTGTTTTTTCCTTCCCATAGTTTGGTGCTTTTTGGTGATTGTTTCCGGCTCACCGGCCATCTCATCTGCAGTATAGATCCAGAGAAGACAGTTGTTGATTGATAAAGGTAACGTCTGTAACAGGCTGTTGGAAATATTCTTTGTGACCCACCCGCCAACTTTCTTATTCGTTCTGTATAGAAGAGCTGACTGACTTGACGCTGTTTGTATTGAAAATCCAACTGACGGAATTTCGTTGTTGATGATGGCTGAGTGACGAAGATTTCCAGATTGGTTTCAGGTTGATGAATGAATGTGTCTCTCGCCCGCTTTCCCGATTCACGCTCGATTCGACATCCTCGTCCGTTCCGACTTCCTTCCTGTAGTTGAGACAATGCTCCCTCCCTAGATGATAAGTGAATGAAGTAACTTCTTTCAAATCCCTCCCGTTGATGGTAATTGGCGCTGGATGTTTCTGCTGTTACTTTTGTTGTTGGTTGGTTGGTTATTTTCATAACCTCCGTCTTGTTTAGCTATGTTCACCTGGAGTCCTGTCCTGTCTTCGCTGGCTGATTCTTCGACCAGTTAGTCGGTTTTCGCTTGCTTCTAAGTCTTCGATTTTGTGCGACATCAAACATAAATCATCTACACTCGAAATCCAGGTCTTCTAGGTTCTTCACATTGGTCCTGAATATCCTTGTCCTCTCATTTCCCACTGACTGTCTGACGCATAATCCAGTCAGTTCACCACAATTATGAATATCATTCATTGGTGGTAATAAGAGAGCACCCTTGTCTGACTCCTGTGTTTACTCCAAACGCCTCACTGAGTCTTCCGTTGTGGATCACTTGGCAGGTGCCGTTGTCGTACAGTTGTTGAATAAGGTTGATGAATATTACGGGTACGCCGTAGTACTCGAGTAGTTTCCAAATTACTTCGCGGTAAACGCTGGCTGTCGAAGGCCTTTTCAAAGTCTATAAAGTTGAGGTAGAGGTTTGATTGCCATTCCATGCTTTGTTCTGTGATGATGATGATGATGCGTACAGTTGCAATTGGGTCAGAACATGATTTGCCTGACTTTCCTGAATCCAGCTTGTTCTGGTCGGAGTTCTGTATCCAGTGCGTCCTTTATTCTCTCCAGGATGATGCGACTCAGAATTTTACTTGGCGTCGACAAGTATATATATTGTAAATAATAATAGTGTTAGTAGGAGATAGTCTCACCATATCAAAAAGAACCAATTATTTTGCAAACACCATAGTAACTCATAGATTTCATGCTTAACATTGTGTCTATTGCATAGAACACGGGTTGGACAAATAAATATGCGACCGCTGAATTCCCATACTTTGTAGTACGAACATATAATCTATTGTACGGATTTCTGGTTCTATCAGATAACATAGAGCAGGGCGGAAAGGGTTAGGTATTCAGGGTAAGACAATATGGATTTATTTAGACCATTTCTCACACATGCGTTGTTCAGAAGTCTGTCACATAATATGGTGACAAGTTGACTGAGTTATACAGTAACTGTCCTACTGACAGACTTCACTAGCCTTCCTATCAATATGTCATAGTGATTTTTCAATAGCTCAGGAAATACTAAGAGTGGGGAGGAGTAAAGTACAGTAGGTAAGACACACGAGTTATTATTATTGTTTCCTTTAGTTCCTAGAGGAACATAGAGCTACAACTGCACGTCTCCATTGCTTTCGGTTCTCCACTAATGTTTTCACCTTGCTCAACGTCTGCCTGCATGCTTTCATCTCCTCTTTGCACCCACCTCATCCCCGCCTCCTCCTCCATGTCACCCTCGCGTACTGACGACGAACTAACTCGCCGCTTCCCTCCCATTCGGATTCCACTCGAGAGAGAGAGAGAGACAGCCTGGTGTGTGATTTCACTACTAACTTGATCGTTTGTTTTCTCACAGTATGGCAACAATCCAATTCACCTTCATTTTTACCTGCATATTTCTTGCAAATAATCGGTTCCTGATGGGCTGGGTTGGTTCGTCCATTGTCAAAGATCCCTGTTGCTGATCTTCTCTGGCCGGCCATCTGATCTTGCGAGAAGTATTGAGCGAAGACAACTAGCTGTTGATGAAGGTGTGCAGTTTGTTGGAGATGCTCTTTATGACGCGCCAGGACTCTGATCCGTAGAGTAAGTAGCGCTGACTTCACATTAGAGTTGAAAATCCGGATCTTATTTTGTTGCTGAGTGATGTTGACCTCCACACAGACTTAAGGGTAATGAAAGCCTGTCTTGCTTTTCCGATTCTGGCTTTGATATCCTCGTCAGTTCCGCCTGTAGTTGAAACGATACTTCCCAGGTAGGTAAAGGAGGTTGTTTCGTTCAGGTTCCTCCCATTTATGCTGATTGGTGTTTGTTGTTGTTGTTGTTGCTGTTGGTGTTGGCCAGGAATCTTCATCACCTCTGTTTTATCTATGTTCACTTGAAGTCCTATCTTTGATGCTTCTTCTGCAAACTTGTTGCTTTTCACTTGCATATCTTCCGGTTTGTGGGAAATCAGACATATATCTCAGCGAAGTCCAGATCCTCCAAGTTTTTTGTGTGAGTCCATTTTATGCCTGTTTCCTCATTGCCCGTTGTCTGTCGCATTATCCAATCTACTGCAATCAGGAAAATCATTGGTGATAGTAGGCAGCCTTGTCTCACTCCCGTCCTTACTTCGAAGGCTTCCGTAAGTTTCCCGTTGTGGATTACTTGGCACGCAGCATTGTCGTATAATTGTTGGATGAGATATATAATTGTCTCCTTTCTTTGGCAGTTTGTTCACAGCTCCCTTTGTGACGCCACGCGGTCCGTATAGTAGTGATGACTTCACATTGGAGTTGAAAATCCAGAAGGCTTGTCTTGCTTTCCCGATCCTCGCTTTCGTGATACCCTCATCAGTTGCGTCCGCCTGTAGTTGAAACGATGCTCTCTAGGTTGGTAGGTAGGTAGGTAAAGGAGATTGCTTCTCTTAGATCTCTCCCATTTATGCTGATTGTTGTTGCTGTTGGCCAGGAATTTTCATCACATCTGTGTTTTCTATGTTTACGCGGAAGTTCAATCTTTGATACACGAGTTTACAAATTGTAAAAGTAGAGGTTGAGTGATTCAAATTGTTTTAGTTTCTTAATGTAGATTAGTAGATTAGACGGAATATTTTCTTGCAGATCGACAAAATATGAGATGAAGAACTAAGTAACGTCAGAGGATAGAACTATACCGAGGTATTTTGTCTTAGACCTACTGTCTATTACAGCCACCTCTCTATGCTACAAGCATTGTCTGTAATAACCAGCGCAACTCCAAACATCTAAACTCCCTCCTACTCAAAAAAACCTTCGTCGGATAACAAAGTCGCATACTGAATCCTCGTACAAATATCTTTCCAATCTGAAGTCTCATCTGGCTATTTATGACACCATAATAAATGAGCTAAATATTATTTGCTGGGTCAAATTCATGAACTTCGTCAAAGAATTACAGTCCAAAACTGCAAAAGAATATGAAAATCAACTGACAAAGCATTAGTCAAGGAAAAGTTAACTGAAGATTTCCCAGAAGCACCTGAACGTTACGTTTGTAATCTGTCAAATTTACAATTAACCAAAATTGAATTAAAAGCCTTATTTTTGGGATTCAAGTTTCACGTCCCTAAAAGGCATATAAACCGTATAGATACAGAAACACAGTTTGAATGCTTATACTATCAACTTTCTGACCTGCAACCTGTGCATGAAGACAGACGAGGATGGCTCAAGTTCAAACTGGTTGATATAGCCAACCAATACCACACATCACCATCCGAAAAACAAAATATGCTTATTGAGGAGCATAGAGCGGCACTAAGAAGACTATGTGAAAATTATGATTTCGTCGTGTTTAGACCCGACAAAGGCTCTGGAATTGTTATAAAGAATAAAACTGATTATGTACATAAGATATTGACAATTCTTAACGACTCCAAAAAATTTCAACTGGACAAAACTAAGAAGGATGCAACAACATCATTCGAAAATGAAGTAAATAAACCCCTCAAAGAATTACTCATCAAGATACTGATTGACAACAAAACGTACAATGAACTCAAGTCAAAGGGTGGACGACTCCCATTTATGTACGGTCTACCCAAAATCCATAAGGCCAATGTGCCCTTAAGACCCATATTATCAATGATAAACTCACCATGCCACAAACTATCCCGATGGCTAGCTGATTCATTGAAGCTAATTCGAAAGGAAGTTTCAAATCATAGTCTGGATGACACCTTCCAATTTTCTACAGAAGTCGATCACGTTGACATATCAAATAAACTAATGGTGTCATACGACGTGACTGCCTTATTTACAAATGTACCAGTGATGGAAACAGAAGATATCATTTGTAAACAAACAGATCTATCGCCATTACTGGAGTCAGAGATGAAACAGCTACTAATTCTTTGCACAAAAGACATCCAATTTATATTCAATAACCAATTCTACCGACAAATTGACGGGGTCGCCATGGGTTCACCTCTAGGACCCATTCTAGCAGACATCTTCATGGGATATCTAGAATAGACGCGACTGAGTGACGCTATCAATGAAACAACATACTACCGTCGATAAGTCGATGATACTTTTGTTGTTTGTAACGACATGAATCAGGCATCCGTTTTATTTGACCACCTAAATGAGGTTCACCCAAACATTAAATTCACCATGGAATACGAACACAACGATGAGTTCAATTTCCTGGACCTAAATGTAAAAAGAAGAAACGATGGGACGGTCGAAAAATACACCTACAGAAAAGAAACCTGAACTGGACAATACCTTCATTAGAACAGCTTCTGCCCTATGAGCTATAAGCGGGGATTAGTAAGGACACTGTATGACAGGGCCATGAAGTTATGTTCGCCTAACAAGGTAGAAGAAGAATTAAGCTTCGTTGAAAAATGCCTTAGGGAAAACGGGTATCCAAAAGGATTTATCCTAAAGTACAGCAAAGAAAGAGATGAGAAAGAAAAGCATCCAACAGTTGAAAAGAAGAAAGCGCTCATTTGCCTCCCATACAAAGGAGAAACAGTATCGCAAAAGATTGAGAAGAGGATGAAGGGACCAATAAAGAGATGCTTCCCTGCAGCTAATCTAGTGATACTATACAGTACTACATGCTCTATAAGGCAATCGAAACTGAATAAGTACCCTGCTGATGTTACCTCCAACTGCATTCATAAATTTGCGTGTACCTGCGGCAGCAAGTACATTGGAAGGACAGAAAGAAGGGCTTCTATCCGGTTTTCAAAGAATATTCCAACAAACTTATGCCTAAAAAAAAGCAGATATTTATAAAATGCGATTACCAGACACCTTGTGGATACGGGTCATTTTGTCGAGATTTCCAAATCCTTCAAAATATTAAACATACAAAGGACAGCGAATCTACTACGATTTGCTGAAGCGATTGCAATCAAACGTCACAGACCAAACTTATGTTCGTCGGTGGCACAGTGGTTAGGACTCTCGCCGACCATGCACATGATCCCAGGTTCGATTCCCTGACGACGCACACTTGATATCTATGGTGGGCCTGCAAAACTTGGGCTACCGATATCCATGCTGAAAATTCCATACTTGTACCAAAAATACAGTGTGGAATCAAGCTGTAATCAAAAATAAAAAATAAATAATTTATGCATACAGAAAGAGAGTGTGGTCAATCTTTCACTCCCTTGGTAACCATATCACTCTCATTACACTGATTAGTTATACACACTAGTGAGCTCAACTCACTAAGCAAGTTTTCAAATTGATGAACTTTGACCTTCTTGAGTCGCCATGTTGACACTGTTTATTAGATTTTTCTGTTTTCTGTCTTCTCTCACCCCCTTTTTTCTTTCTTTTTTCATAGTTTGACAGTATATAAATTGATGATGCGTTTTCTCTATTACCTTTCAAATAATGAAGTATGAAATGTTATCATTTATAACCATTGTATTTTCAGGTAGTCTGCAGTTAGCTGATGAGAACCTGTGAAATAGAATGATGATGACATCATCTTATACTGCAAATCTGGTCTTTCTTTCTTTCTCTGTCGAAACAATTTTCTCTCGTGTTTACATGGGATACATCCCCAAAACATTTAGTAGAAACTTGTCAATCAACAAGGGCTGTGAACACTTTTAAGTCCAGGCTAGAGAGTTAAATAATACACCATCAGAGATTATATTCTAATCGACTTTACATTTTAACACGATAGACAGGGGGAGCTTTTTGATAACCGAAGTTATAAGCAGACTAAGATTGTTGTGTGTAAGGTAAGTTTTAAAAATGGTAACTGGGACATTGAACACGATTAATAATAATAATAATAATAATAATAATAATAATAATAAATGCGCCTACCTGTAAAGACGTTTATAGCTGTTAACCAAACCAGACCAGATGTTGGTGATCGAAACAGTCTTGACAGAAGATAAACTTGTGGTAATACTGCCCACATAAATAATATGAATAGGATAACCAGAAGATGAAATCTTTCACCGACAGCAAACTGTTCCAAATTGAATAGTGCAAAACACACCAGGATACCGATGATACTCAGGGAGAATAAGCATATATCCCATGCGTATATCGATAACCAATAAGACACTAGCAACAACAACAACAACAAAAACAAACAAACAAACAAGAAAGAGAAGAATACACAAACAATCACATTTTGATGAATTAGACTAGAAAAACCTTGAATTCCCCTAATGATTCCTTGAGATGATATGCATGGAATGTGGGGTAAGAACACACAGAGCAGGTGCCACCAGTGCCCCTTCATGTGTAGAGAGAAATTGTTTTTTCTTCCTTCCTTCACGTTCCCAGTGAAAAATAGTGCACCTTTAAGCTAGAGCTTTGGAGTTTCGGTAGTAGGTGGTATGTTTATGTTTACGGGATGGGGTTGCTAGCCAGCCTCATGCCCAACTATCCCCCCTTCACCAGTCTTATTAGGGGCTTAGCGAGGTACAGGAGTGTGTTTCGGCTGGGGATCGAACCCCCCCCGGACCACCTGCTTGGTTGGCAAGCATTTTACCGCTATGCCACCACCGACGCACAGAGAGAGAATTTAAAAACTAATTTTTCACACTTTTGTGTCATATTGTGCATTAATTTAAAGTAGTCCCAAAATGAGATCACCGAACTGATGTATCACAGCCAGGAGTATCATCATCAGGATATATATATATATGATACATTAGTTCAAGGTCATTTGACTGCGGTATCTCCTCTTTAACTGTTGACCACTGAAAATCATGGAGGGTCGGACATCTTTTTTGTTCTACTTCCTAACTCTTCAGGATTTACCTAAACAACTAACTGAAAGGAATTATTATTATTATTATTCCCTCGGGTTCCGAGTGCAACCTATAGGGCTGGCTTCAACAACAACACCACCACTTCTCCACTTTCTTCTACTTTGTGCTGTACTCACTCTTCAGCTGGTCACACAATTGCCAATGATCTCACATCCCCTCCTCCTCCATGTCGCACTCTCACCAACCACCCACTCCTCCATCACATCGCATTTGGATTCCTCTCAAGCAATAGCTTGCATTCAGCGCCATGTCATTCGACAGCCTACCTTCGTCAATGTATTCCCGATCAATCCATCTGCATTCTCTCCTACATATTTGTTGACAAATCGGCTCTCGTCGGTTGGTTTGTTCATCGCCAGAGTTTCTTGGTACTTGTTCCTTCTGGTCGCCAGTCGGCTGGACATGTGGTCTTCACTATGGAGCCGGCTGGCTGGCTGGCTGGCCAGCCAGCCAGTGGAGGTGGCAGCTGTTGATCAAAGTCTTCAGAAGGCTGTTGCAAATCCTTTTTGATGACGCACACGCACTGGACAAGTTGGTCACTCGTATAGAAGAAGCACTGACTGACTTGACATTGGTGTTGAACAGAAAACGAATCTTAATGTTAATGCTGGCAGAAGCGGAGTGAGGCGTAGAAGATTTCCAAACTGTTTTCAGGTTGATGAAGGCGTGTGTATCTTGCTTGTCATTCCGAATCTGACTGACTGGGTGGCTGTCTTTGACATTGTAATCCGTTTCGACTGCCTCTACTTGAAACGATACTGGCTCCCTAGATAAGTGAAGGCGGTAGCCTCTGTTAAATCTCTTCATCCCGTTGATGGCGATTGGCGCTGGTATCTTCATCACCTCCATCTTCTCTATGTTCATTCAAATGGAGTCCTATCTTCGCTGCTAACTTCTTCTGCCTGTTTGTTGTCAGCTTTCGCTTACCTGTGTGTCTTCGAATTTGTGTGACTTTAGACAAATAGCATCCAGATCTACTAGAGTCTTCTCATCAGTAGTCAGTGAAGCATATTTCTGTCTCCTCGCCCCCCCACCACCACCACTCACAGTCTGACGCATACATAATCCAGTCCACCACAATTAAGAATGTTGTCGTTGGTGAAAATAGGCAGCCAGCCAGTCAGCCTTGTTATACTCCTGTATGCAATGATATTGCACACCAACATCTCTACCAGTAAGAGATGGCTTCCAAGCATATTCCTGAATGACTCCAGAAGTAAATAAAATCCCCAGAACCCATGAATTACTGGTGAGAGCAGATGACGACCTAGCTTATCTATTAAGAAACATATCACAGAATAGACAGGGCATAAAATTGATGTTTATAACTCTTTAAAACGTGTTCGGGGGGAGGGCGGATCCTAAAGTTTGTGTAGGCCTTAGCTGGCAGTTAGGAAGTTTACACCACCTTTATGCGTTCAAAGCAACAATTCGTCATCACACTAAACCTACCTTCCTTGTTGGTAAGCTTTGTTATGATACTAATCAAGGCGGATGTATTATTGCCTCTGTTATCTGGTTTAGTGATCTTCATTGTTATTTCGCACCTTCAATATGTCCTCCTTTTTAACTTGACCTAACTTATCTATTTTCTCACCACTTAACTCTTTATTAATTTCATATATGTCTGTGTACTCCTGTGACAAGTCCGTGTGTGTATGTGTGATGGATGAGATTGTTCGAAATAAGTGCTGCACGCAAATTACATACACCACACACCATTCAGACAAATTACGTCTTCATATTGCTTTGTATGAATGAAATAAGTTAGAAATTAATTAGAAATATTTGAATTGAAAATATGTTATTACTTAAATTCCCAAAAGTAGTTTAGCATTATTGGACAGCATAAAAATTAAGCAGCTACAAACTATAGATTCAACTAAGAGACTAGGAAATGGGGAATCATGCATTCCTTCACTGCAATTAGTAGTTCCTCATCATCCACTGGCTGGCTGACTGATTCTATACTAATATAAAGCGAATTATGACAACAAAATTGTTTTTACCAATCAATCAAGTGGTTATCTCAGTTAATCAGTCTTAGGTATAGGGGAGTGGGGTGAAATGAAGTGTGTGGAAGGTCATCAAAACATCAATCAACTAATAGATGTTAACCGCAAGACATCTAAGTTTTAAAAGCGAAGTGAGATTTAATTACGGAAGAAAAAAGTAAAAGTCGTGCCTGTAGACCATGTAGAGACAATCAGAATTCATCTGAACAAGCCAAATCGGTGTGTGTGTGTGTGTTCTTTGACACGACCAACTAGATAATATGTATTGAGTTTGTTAAAAACAATTTTCCCCTTTCTTCTGTAACTAACTATATTTTGACTTTGTTAATTTTTACAATTCTTGCTAATTTTATTAACTTGTTTGTTTGTAGTTTACGTAACTATTCTGAGTCAACCTATTCTTCTTGTTCTTAGTCGTCATTCATGTTTGACAAATCTCTTGATTATGCAATAACTTGTTGCTAACGCCGCCTAGGAATCAACTTATCTTGAATTCTGTAATTATTTAATTTTCACCCTTTCTTTACTAACTTTGGCATCTTATTACTAACATCTATGAGTTAATTGATGTTTTGATGGCCTTCCACACACTTCATTTCACCCCACTCCCTTATACATAAAACTGATTAACTAAAATAACCACTTGATTCATTGGTAAAAACGATTTCGATGTAAAACCCTCATGCCTTTTTCAAATCGTGGAAAATACCCATTGGAACATTAGATTGAAAAGAACAAGGAAGTTCAGCAAAGATGGCGACCTCTTCGGTGATTTCATTCTCAAAACCAGCTGTACAATCGCATTTATATAATATAGATTAGTTTACATGGATACAATTATTATTATTTGTTTGAACAATTCCACATAGTAACGAAGGTGATAATAATCTTCAACTTGATATGAAAGTTTGAAGGTACGAATATAGATTATAGATTACGAGGGGCTTAGAGACAAGATTTCATAGGATTAGAAAACAGTTACAACGTATGCAAAATTAATATTTGATAAGTGGAGAAATAATAGTTTTAAAGGCGAATCAAAGGTGACCATTATTTTCAACTTGATATGAATTAGAAGAGGCTTAGAGACAAAAATTACACAGGGATAGAAGGAATTACAGGTGTGAACAAAATGAGCATGGAAACAAATTGAAATCAAAATTTCTTTGTCAACTTGAACTGTAAGTTAGGAGGTGTATGGAAGTGAATATAGATTCCAAGGGGCATAGAAACAGAATATTACACAGGATTAGAATCTAATTGTAAAATGGTTATTGTAAACGGATTACAAGTGTGTGCGTGTACTGCGGAAGCTCTCGCCATATGCATCGAAAAGCCGGAGCTATGTGTTCAAAAGAACTAGTCCAGCCTATACAACTACCATGGATCTAGTTCGGTATGTTCCCTTATCCTTCAATTTTTCTTGTTTTGTTCTCTGTGTGTGTAATTTTCTCTCTTCGGCTTCATTCAATTCATCTTAAAATCAGTTATTTCCAATTTGTTTCCATGCTCCTCCTGGTCACACTTGTAATCCGTTTACAGTAACCATTTCACAATTATATTCTAATCCTGTGTAATATTTTGTTTCTATGCCTCTTGTAATCTATATTCATACCTCTTAACTAACATTTTAAGTTGACAAAAGAATTTTGACTTCAATTTGTTTTCATGCTCATTTTGTTCACACCTGTAATTCCTTCTATCCCTGCGTGATTTTTGTCTCTCAGCCTCTTCTAATTCATATCAAGTTGAAAATAATTATCACCTTTGATTCGCCTTTAAGACTATTATTTCTCCAGTTATCAAATATTAATTTTCTATACGTTGTAAGTGTATTTTCTAATCCTATGAAATCTTGTCTCTAAGCCCCTTGTAATCTATAATCTATATTCGTACCTTCAAAGTTTCATACCAAGTTGAAGATTATTATCACCTTCGTTACTATGTGGAATTAATTAAACAAATAATAATAATAATTGTATCCATGTAAGATAATGTATACAAATGCGATTGTACAGCTGGTTTTGAGAATGAAATCACCGAAAAGATCGCCATCTTTGCTGAACTTCCTTGTTCTTTTCAATCTAAACACAATTCTGTTGTAATGACCGACAATATATTAGTGTAGAGCCAGCCAATGGATGATGAGGAACTACTAATCGAAGTAAAGGAATACATGATTTCTTGGAAATTACTGAAATACTCAGGAGGAAACACAATAAAACGATAAGTGCGTTCACTTCATATTATACGCCAAAGATACAACAATTTAAGCTCAATAAAGAGTATTACCTAATTTCACTCCAGAAATAAACTGTAAATGTTTTGCCTTGGTAACAGCTTCATGAATTGGAAAATATCCAAACGTTGAGGCTAAATACGATGCAGAAAACAGCAGATTTGATGCCAAAGGAAATGCAGCGAATGTCACAAGTATAAGCGCCCGGAATTGATTCAGCTCACTGGAACGTTCTTCTTCTGTCATAGGTAAAGGTTGATTTGCGACATGAATTTGTGGTGGAGTATCGCCAACTTTCAAACCTGGGCATATTTCCTGCAAGTAGGAAAAATCAATCAAATTCAAGCGGGGTGGGGATGGGGGAAATTTACCCCTTAATTTCCAGTATGGATAAAATTTTCATTTTGATAAACTCCTCTCACAGTGTGTGTGAGCGTGTTGGTATACAGTAATATATATTGACTGATGATGGGCACAAACACTTCGAGCACATTTTTCCCTACTCATTGTCACCATTCATATCAAGGCACTAATCACACGACTTCCCAACTTCGTTTATATGATTCCATTATTTTTCATCACTTGATTTGATATGTAGACAAACAGAAGGTGTGTAGCAATGGGATCACCAATACCCCCCTCCTGTCGTAGAAGATATCTTCATGGACAGCTCTGAATACATTTACTTAATCCTACTCCAAATATTATATGGTCGAGGAGATATGTGGATGACACTTTCACACACAGTGTTGAAAACAGGACAACTATCTCTCTCTAGCTTTTTCACACACACACACACACACACACACATTAACTCACTAGTAAAGGGAATAAGATTCACATTTCAGTCAGAAAATGAACAAGGAGAATTACCTGTGATGTTAGAGTGTAAAATAAAACGAAGAGAAGAAGGTGAACTGCACACTAACACATTCTGGTGATAGATATTCAGAGTTGAATTCATCTCATCCGTTCGTTATCTGTCTACGAAAGCAGACTTACTCAAGTGTCTAACAACAACCGAGCAACAACATTACGGAGCAGTACAACAAAAAGACCTAAATGATGAAGTAAAACGGATAGAAGAAGAATGGCTGGTCCGTGTTGAATAACTAACTATCCTATAAGATCCATTAGGAAGATTAGGAAAGGTCAGAAGCAAAATAAAAATAATGGTGAAACCAATAAAAGAAGGGAAGGGACATATCTGAGACCATCCCTACGTAGGATTCCTAATAAAACAGGAATTAGCATGGTGGCCTTTAAACCTAAAAACTCACTCACTCACTCACTCAGATAGGACAAGCTCTGTAGGTAGGGTTAAAGGACCCTGTAGGTTGTTGACCCAATTGAACAAAATGATATAATTTACAAAATAAATTGGGTCAACTACACGGGTAAGTCAAACCAGATAGTAGATAGGGGGTAATCAGCCTGCCTGTCAGAACATAAGAATTCAGCTAAGGTTAGATTGATAGACGCCTCAAAGATAAGTGATTCACAAAAAATAACTCAACAATATCACTACATGCATTAACAAACAATCACACACAATAATGTGGGAGACGGTTAAAATTCTAAATAGTAATGTAACTAGTTAGAGATAGAGAGACAGGCTGATTACTGAATCTTTGTTCATAAAAATCTACATCGAACACAACACGTGCAATAGGAATCACTCGTTATCACTAATAACAGAAATATAGAAATATATTAATACTGACTACTGAACTCAAGACATGAGGGAAATATCGGAATCATATAAACGAAGTTGGAAAGTTGTGTCAATAGTGAGTGCCTTGATATAATGCTGACGAAGCACAGTAATAAAATTGCCCTCAAAGCATTTGTGGTCACCATCAGTAAATGCTACCTACTGTGAGACTTTAACAAAATCAAAAAAAAAAATTTTCTCCATAATGGAATTATCACCCTAACACAGTGCCCAAGTTTTATCTCCTTATTTCACATCACTTTCCTTTGCAAACTGTAAAATGGTTTAGATTACAATACGGGATACCATCACTGATGCCATAAAAGTGACAGTCAGGAAAGAAAGCACAAATTCAGCATAACAGTATACTACACTACTGAGATTGCTCTAGCCAATATCATCGGCGATGGTTGTGTGCTGTTGAAGGAGATATAGCAAAGTAGAATAATGGTTCTAATGGTTCGCCATATCTCTCTCTCTCTATCACAAATTGTCAGAAGTTAGAAGGAATAGGTCGCTGGATTCCATCCCAGAGGCTGAATGATATACAAGCTTCATGGACGTCTTCCAAAAGAATACATTATCCACGGAACTTCATCAAAAGACATATTCCCACAAGCAAGCAAGCAAACCAACCAACCAAATCAAAGGTCCCCAAAGAAAGCACAAAGAAAATTGCCCTACCATATATATAAGACATTTCAGAAATTACTGTAGCACTCTTCAAACCTTTGAGAATTGATGTCGCATACAAACCAACAAAATCACTTCACTCAGCTTACTCTATGTCAACCAAAAGACAGACTCAACAGCAAAAGGGGACGAAATCAACACATCATCTACAAAATACAAAATAAATAGCAACGATTGAGAGGAACACAACTTTAGTCAAAGTGGACTCACTTCACGTCTTCGTAACCATGGACACAAACTAGCCGTCAAAAGACATGACATCCACACTCCCTTACTCACTCATATCGCCTCACTGAATTCAGACAGACAACCACGGATATCATCAATTCGACTGGGAAACCCAGCATTCAAATTATTAGGCAGAGGAAACAACACCCCCAAAACGCTAGAGAAATTTTGGGAGTCTGAGAATCCGTAATTAACAGGCATATTAACATGGATAAAATTTACCGATCAATAAGAGAGAAACCTTACACGCACACACACACACACACACACAAATAGTGTCAAACTTCAGGTCAAGGGAACAATCAGTACCAAATGCAAGTAGTCTAGATGGTGTGATGACAGACAAGAACAACCAATCACACGTCCAGCGTCACCTGAAGAGATGATCGTGGAGAAATTCACCAGCTCACTTCAATGCAAATTGAAATGTATGCATATTGTTGCCTAGCAGAACAATGAAATGTGACTTCAATAATTTTAGTCTTCAGACGAAGTTGTGACGTATTTTTCCATTAATATTGAATATTCCCATAATTTATTCAGAACAAAATATTTATAGCGAACAATCGTGGTTTCAGGCTCTACAATGTGTGCGTCGGTGGCACAGTGGTTAGGACTCTCGCCGACCATGCACATGGTCCGAGGTTCGAACCCTCGCCGACGCACACCTGATATCTATGGTCGGCCTGCAAAATTTGGGCTACCGATATCCATGCTGAAAATTCCATACTTGTACCAAAAATGCAGTGTGGAATCAAGCTGTAAATCAAAAAATAAATAAAAAAATAAAAAATAAAAAAATACAATTATAAATCCCTTAGTTTAAGCATACAATAGCCAGCCAGTGAAGGCGAATTAGAATCATATCAAAAAGTGTATTGTGGAACAAGTATAGGATGGGATGGAACAATAGTCAGATATTTAAAACAATTAGTCCCTTTTATAAATTTTGATAGCGTTATTAGAAGATGGAGACTATCTGAAAAATGTGATGTATTAGCGCTATACATTTCGAACAATCTGATCACACATTTACTTGTCAAGTCAATATATATATAAAGGTTAAATTAAACAAAGTGAGAGAAAACGGAATTAAGAATAATTAACACAAACCTTTGATAATCCAATCAAATAAGGATTACCAAGGTAGGTTAAGACTAATGACAAACTGTTTTTGAATACACAAGGGGGGCTTAAGTCTATGAATAGCTATAGCCTCAGCGTATTTCAGTAAACGCCCTTGACCGTTTTTATAGATGACCTTAAAGGCTGAGTTAACATCAATCTTATGGTTCATCTCGATTAGATGTTTAGCTATAGACGAATTTGGTAGTCTGCCACCTGCATCTATCAGCTTGTCACAATTCATCTGTTTTTCTAATCATTTTGGGATATGCTCTCCCACCCTCACGTGCAAAGCGCGATTACTCCTCCCTATGTATGTATGTCCACACACACACACACGAAAATTGGTAAATTGTATGGGATGTGATATAATCACTTGTGCACTTTTGGGGTTTACAGTGAAGCATATTTTTAGCTTTTTCCACAATTACAAGCTGGGCTGCATAGTAGGTTCTACGGATGATTGAATTCAACCTTTGTCTCACAATCCTACTGTTTATTTCCCCGTTATATGGTAATTTGATAAAAACCTTTTTCTTAGGGACGGTATGGATTGTAGGTTTAGAGGCTAGTTGACTTCTACATCTGTTTAAAAATTTCAAAGGATATCCGTTTTCAACAAGAGTATCCAATAATATTTCGTTTTCTCTATCCATAACATCAGCCGTGCAAATACGCTGAATCCTCTTGAATAGACACTTCACCAAGCCCATCTTATACTGTAATGGATAGAAGCTGTGAAAATTAAGGTATTGCCCTGTCCAAGTGGGCTTTCTGTAGATAGACCGTCTTATTGAACCATCATCTCTTCGACTCAGAAGTATGTCTAAAAATGCAAGCTGGTTGCGACTTTCTTCCTCACATGTAAGACTAATATGAATCTGTACAGAGTTAAGTTTGTCTAATAGGCGACCCGCATCTTCATGATCGTCACATATCAAAATGATATCATCTACATATCTCCTATAAAAGGGCAATTTTGAAATTAAATCAAGGGATAAGTTGTGTATTCAAAAACAGTTTGTCATTAGTCTTAACCTACCTTGGTAATCCTTATTTGATTGGATTATCAAAGGTTTGTGTTAATTATTCTTAATTCCGTTTTCTCTCACTTTGTTTAATTTAACCTTTATATATATATTGACTTGACAAGTAAATGTGTGATCAGATTGTTCGAAATGTATAGCGCTAATACATCACATTTTTCAAATAGTCTCCGTCTTCTAATAACGCTATCAAAATAGTCAGATAGTTTTTTTTTTAGCTAGATGTTGGAATTCTATCCGAAAAAATCAAAGAATTATTATTGAAATGCACTATGAATGTTCAGTTTATGTTGAATAATGGTTTTTATAGACAAGTTGATGGCGTAGCCATGGGATCACCTCTGGGCCCTATGCTAACGGATATTTTCCTGGCAAAGCTTGAAAATGGTACACTCAAAGACACGATTAGAGGGCTTGATTATTATTGTCGATACATAGATGATACCTTTATCGTTTGTGATAGAAATCTTAATAAACAAGAGCTTCTGAATGCCGTTAATAGTGTTCAC